CCCCCGGACTTCCTTGTGCCGGTTCCCCCCCCGGTAGACCCCCTCCCCCCTCAGGTTCCTGCCCCCTCAGGTGTGTCCCAGGTAGACGCCGTTGACCCGGTCGAGGTTACTGGTGACTCTGGTGCTGCTGCGGGTGCTGAGCCTGGGGGTGCTGACTCTGGGGGTACTGTGCGCGGGGGTGCTGAGCCTGGGGGTGCTACTGCTGGGGGTGCTGGGCCTGAGGGTGCTACTGCGGTGGGTGCGGAGCCTGGGGGTGCTGAGCCGGGGGGTGCTGTGCCTGGAGGTACTGGGTCTGGGGGTGCTGGGTCGGGAGCTGCTGAGCCTGGGGGTGCTGAGCTGGGAGCTGCTGAGCCTGGGGGTGCTGCGTCTGGAGCTGCTGAACCTGGGGTTTCTCCTGCTGCTGCGTCTCGCCGAGAGCCCCTCTCTCCACAGGAGCTGCGCGAGTGGTACGCTCGCCGCTGCAGGCGTGCTGCTGAGTCTGGAGGTGCTGCTGGAGCTGGAGCTGGAGCTTCTTCGACCGTCGAGGGTGCGGGTGCTGCCGGTCCTGGAGCTGCTGGACCTGCGGGTCCTCCTGGAGCTGGAGGTGCTGAGGGCGTTGGTGCTGAGCCTAGTGCTGTTGGTCCTGCCGCTGGAGGTGTGGGTGGCGCTGGTGCTGTCGCTGAGGGTGTAGGTGCTGTCCCTGCTGCGTCTGGAGCTGCTGAGCCTGGGGTTTCTCCTGCTGCTGCGTCTCGCCGGGAGCCCCTCTCTCCACAGGAGCTGCGCGAGTGGTACGCTCGCCGCTGGAGGCGTGCTGCTGAGTCTGGAGGTGCTGCTGGAGCTGGAGCTGGAGCTTCTTCGACCGTCGAGGGTGCGGGTGCTGCCGGTCCCGGAGCTGCTGGACCTGAGGGTCCTCCTGCAGCTGGAGGTGCTGAGGGCGTTGGTGCTGAGCCTACTGCTGTTGGTCCTGCCGCTGGAGGTGTGGGTGGCGCTGGTGCTGTCGCTGAGGGTGCTGGTGCTGTCCCTGCTGAGTCTGGAGCTGCCGCGCGGCCTCGGCCGTACTTCGTTCCGCTCCTACAGCAGGTTCTTGGTCTTTCTCCTTCGGTAGAGTGTCCACAGCCTGTCCAGTCGCAGTCACTGTTGGAGCCTTCCTCTCCTCTGCCTGCTCCCTCTCCTTACACTGGTCCTACTGGAGGTCTTGCTGAGCGTCGTGAGCCTGCGTCTCGTCCCGCGTCGCCTGTTCGTGCTGCTCGCGCTAGTGGTCGCGGTTCGTGTCAGCGTCCTCCTCCTGTCCCTGGCACGCACCGGATGTCTCTGCGTCCGTCCACTGCTCCTCTGCGTGCCCCTCTGCCTTCTCCTCCTGAGTCCTCTCTTCCTGCGCTTGCCGACCCTGAGTCAGACTCTCTTCGCGCTGCCAGTCCTACTGTCACGCGTCTGCTTGCTACTATCGTCACTGACCCCTCTTTTGAGTCCACTGCTGCGTCTGCTCTAGTCGCTGAGCTCGTTGACTTTGCTGCTCGCTGTCGTCTCGACTACGCTGCTGGTCTTGTTGCTGAGTCTGCGTCTGTCTGTCCTCCGTCCGTCGGGGGTGAGTGTGCTCTTGGCACGGACGTCCTAGAGGACAGACAGGAGGAGTTACAGTGTCTAGCGGCTGCTTCACCTCATCTCGCGTCTGTACTACTTGCCCCTGAGGGAGACCCGGATGCATTAGACATCCCGACTCCGCGTTCTTACGCGGAGGCCGTAGAGGGTCCCTACTCCTCTCAGTGGCAGGCAGCTATGGATGCAGAGATGGCTTCCTGGAAGTCCACAGGCACCTACGTTGACGCAGTTCCCCCTCCTGGGGCGAACATCGTCAGTGGCATGTGGATCTTCAGGGTGAAGCGGCCGCCGGGCTCTCCACCTGTCTTCAAGGCGCGGTACGTTGCTCGTGGCTTCAGTCAGCGGCAGGGAGTTGACTACTTTCAGACCTTCTCTCCCACCCCGAAGATGACCACTCTTCGGGTGCTGCTGCACATAGCCGCTCAGCGCGACTACGAGCTTCACTCTCTTGACTTCAGCACTGCGTTCCTGCAGGGTAGCCTGCACGAGGAGATCTGGCTGCGCCGTCCACCTGGCTTCACTGGGACTTTCCCTCCTGGCACCCAGTGGAGCCTCAGACGGCCAGTCTACGGTCTCCGCCAGGCACCGCGTGAGTGGCACGACACACTGAGGACTACGCTTGCGGCTCTTGGGTTTGCTCCTTCTACTGCTGACCCGTCGCTGTTTCTGCGCACCGACACCTCGCTGCCGCCGTTCTACATCCTCGTGTACGTCGACGACTTGGTCTTTGCCACAGCGGACACTGCTGGACTCGCCTACGTGAAGTCCGAGCTGCTGAAGAGACACACGTGCACAGACCTGGGTGAACTGCGCAGCTACCTTGGCTTGCAGATCACTCGGGACAGAGCACGCCGCACCATTACCTTGACTCAGTCACACATGGTGCAGCAGGTCCTTCAGCGCTTCGGCTTCACGTACTCCTCGCCTCAGGCCACTCCTCTACCTACTCGCCACTCACTCTCAGCTCTGCCTTCGGATGAGTCCGTAGAGTCGAGTGGTCCGTATGCAGAGCTTGTTGGCTGCCTCATGTACCTGATGACCTGCACACGACCTGACCTTGCATACCCTCTGAGCATTCTTGCACGCTATGTTGCTCCTGGGAGACACAGACCGGAGCACATGGCTGCAGCGAAGAGGGTATTGCGCTACCTGTGCAGCACGTCGGGCATGGGGCTAGTGCTTGGAGGGCGGAGTCCAGTGGTCCTTACCGGCCACGCGGACGCTTCTTGGGCTGACGACCAGGCTACGCAGCGGTCGTCACAGGGTTACACCTTCAGCCTTGGTTCCGGCTCTGTCTCGTGGCGGTCTACTCGCTCGTCTTCGGTTCTCGGCTCCAGTTGTGAGGCTGAGATCTACGCCGGGGCCATGGCTGCACAGGAGCTTCGCTGGCTCACCTACCTGCTGACTGACCTTGGAGAGCCGCCTCGTTCTCCTCCAGTGCTGTACGTAGACAACAAGGCTATGCTGGCCTTGTGTCGAGAGCAGCGCTTGGAGCACAGAACGAAGCACATTGCTCTCCGCTACTTCCTTGCTCGTGAGCTGCAGCAGCGTGGTCAGTTGCGACTTGCGTACGTGGCCTCTGAGGCCAACACTGCTGATGTGTTCACCAAGGCACTCGCGCCTTGTGACCATCAGCGCTTTTGCACCCAGCTGGGTCTTGTGCCTGTCTTGCCTCACTTGCTCTCCTCTTGACTTCACTTGTACTGAGACATATATATATGCCTGCTCTTGTTTGTCTAGTTTTATATATATGTCTGTACTCCTGCATGTGAACTGGCCTCTGGCCCTACTCTTGTGCTCGGACTGTGTGGTGACTTTGTGATCCACCCTGAGCTTGCTTTGCTTTGCTTGACTGGTCTTGTGACCCCTTGTTCTCCCCCACTTTGCCTATGGGGGTGTGTCAGATTTATATGACATAGTTGTTGTAGGCTATAGTGGGGTAGCACATATGGGGTACAGGGTTTCTAGGGTTGTATTTGTACCCATCTTTCCTTAGTCATTTTCATCCCTGTTCGTTTATTCTCACATTGCAAACCCACACTGGAAGACCCTTTCAAGCTGGGACGGGGTTCACTATTCCATATATCGGTTTTAAGACTGTCCGTTGTACCGAAATCACGACCCCGCTACTGTGGACCATTCCAAATCAGCCACATGATTACCCCAGTGACAGCTCACCTACTGTTGCCGACGGACTGGTACGTCACCCCTTCGTTCCACGTCATTCTGCTTCGCCCATACATCCCAACCACAAGCCAATTGCCTCGTCACCACCCGCCATCCATGACTCGCCCTGCATCGGAGCCGATCATCGAGCCCGAAAAAATCCTGAGCCATCGGATTCGACACCCCACATGAATCAGGAGGATTGAATTCCTCGTTCGCTGGAAGGACCGCACGCCAACTGAAGATAGCTGGGTGCCCCTGGCCAACATCGAAAACCACCCTGCCCTGCAAGTATACCTGAGGAGTCGGGGTTCCCGCGATATATCCGCACTCACGTAGCACAGGGGCCTTCTTGAGGGGGGGGGGGGGGGGTAGTGTAAGGAACCGTAAGCCCCCGGATAGAAGCGCAGGCCTCAGATAAGCGCCGGCGCTTATAAAGGGATGAGGGCGCTTATATCCGGTCCTCAATTATAAGCGCACCCCCTAAAAAATTGTGATTTATTATAAGCGCATGTCGAATATTATATGAAAATCAGTCGAAGTACAGAAACGAAATTCCCCTTACCAGGGAAGCGAAATACAGTTCCACTTTCCCACTCACATCACACTTGCTGCGCGTCTAGTCAGCACACGCTGTCGCTTAGTCAGCATGTGTTGGCAGGGAATCAATCCCTGCCAAGTTGCTCAAGAGTCAGATTCGCGACCCAGTATATTTTCGACTCGATTACACTTGGAAGAACGACATCTACAATTTGGTGTTAAAAAAAAACTTCATTTCATTTTGCCGTTATATAAACGCCGGCGCTTATAAATTTCCTCAATTATAAGCGCACCCCCTAAAAAACAGTGTTTTATTACAACCCCAGGGGCGCTTCTATCCGGGGTATGACGGAATTTTCTCGGTATTCCTTAGCGCGCCCTGCAACATCGCGTACAACAGCAACCGTTGTTCGCCCGTTACTGCTAACGGGACTTCGCCGACTTAGCGCGCACTGTTGCACCAAACCTCGCCCTGCTGGCCTGGCCGTATCGGCCTACGCTTCGGGACTAGCCCGAACCTCGCTTCCAGCATAGCACTAGCTAGCTCGCACGCACCGCGTTACTGTTTGCATGTTTCGCATATAAATGTTCGCTCATGCCTTCGCTCACATGTTGTACCCGTTTGACACCTTAGTGCAATTCTCGCTACTTCGATTCATTGCAACCGTAACACCCAGCTACTTTTAGACAAGAGTTAATACAAATTCAGCACGAAATCAAAAGGACAAACTCTGGCGTTTCTTAGGGGGCCCTTTCTTCATCATGATGCCCACTAATTCAGCCAAATAGCCGTCTTCTGTCCACCAGTCAGGCTCCTTTCCTGGAAGCACCTCTTGAGAACACAATGTGAAGTTTGCACGCAGGAGTCCCTGCATGACAAAGACATGGGAGACATGGGATTTGGGAGGGGCAAGAACAAAAAGAGGACAATAAATTTAGGAGACAAGTGTAGCAGCAGAGGGAAGCAGAGCTGTGGGTGGTTGAGTCAACTCAAGAAAGGTGTGGCAGGGGTAGCAGGGGAGCAGAGTACGCACCTGAAAGTGGTTGAGGTAGGCCACATCAGGGGTCAAATGCACGCCGCCCTCCAGCGGCTCTATGGGGCGATGCACCTGGAGAGGCACATGGGGGAGGTGGGGAGATAGTGAGGTGATTCAAAGGCACGGGAAGTGAAGGTGAGAGAATCTTGCTAAGATTTATGAATGCTTGCCACCCTCCAGTGGCTCTATGGGGCGATGCACAGGGAGGGCACATGGGGGCGTGGGGAGATGCAATGAGAGAAAGGCCCCCGGGGGCATGGGGGGAAGGCATGGGGGGAAGGCATGGGGGGAAAGCATGGGGCGAGGCATGGGGGGAAGGCATGGGGGAAGGCATGGGGGGAAGGCATGGGGGGAGGGCATGGGGGGAAGGCATGGAGGGAAGGGATGGGGGGAAAAGCATGCGTGGGTCCACCAACAACTTGCGATGACCGTGGAAGTTGAGGCAGTGATTCGGTGAGTACCCCATGTCCTTTTCCCCCTATTCATGCTCCCAGTATCCCATACACCTGAGCTGAAGGACCCTCACTCACTCGCACCAGTCACACCCACCTGCACGGCCCACACTTGTCGTGGGTCAACCAGGAACTTGCGATGGCCGTAGAAGTTGAGGCAGTGGTCTGGCGAGTACCCCATGTCCTTCTCTCCCACGCAGTACACATGCGGCCAGTGAAACCGCATGCGCTGAATCGGGAGCGTGAGCGCGGGAGTGGAAGGTCTACAGTACTCCACAGACCACCACACACTCCCGAACGTGATAAAAGCCGATCCGTTATGCTGCATAAGGAGGTTGTGCAGGGACCCGCCAGCTACGTCCACCGGTTTCGGCTTGGTGTGCCTTTTTCGTTTTTTTCTCCGCTTGCGCCCGGACGGCGTGTACTCGCCCTCTTCGTCTGCTTCTGGCTCGGGCAGCGGGGCGGCCGGCGGGGCGATGTACAGTAGCTCGTCAAAGTCCATGAACAGTACCCAGCGGGCGGCGGAGCGGAGACGGTACATGCAGTCATTTAGGGTTAGCACGTTCTGTTTGTTTTCGAATGCGTATGCACCCCGAATGTCGACTATTTCCATTATGTTGGCATCCACAAAAGGGGATAGGACCTGGGGCAAGTTAGACGTCGGGGGGATGGAATTGGATGGGGGGGGAGGGAGAGCAAGGAGAGGGGTTATAATGGGCACAGAAGGTTTGAAGTGAAAAGATGCAGACATTTAGGGTAGCATGTTCTGCAGGGAGTTTTTGAGAATTCTCAAGAACCCCCTGCAACATTTAGAGTAGCACGTTCTGCTTGTTCTCAAACACGAATGGGCCACGAATGTCGATGGTTTCCAAATTGTTGGCATCTATGAAGGGAGATAGGGCCTGGGGATGGAAGGAGACTTTTGAGTCGACTCAGTGACTTGACTTTTGAGTCGACTCAAAAGGGATGGAAGGAGAAAATAGAGAAGGGAATAGAGAGTGGGTGTTACGGCTGAAGGAAGGAAGGAGGGATAACACTAGTTGAACCAGATAAAAAATCCTCAAGGTCATACGTTGAACAAAAAGTAACGGCCTTGATTTAAACAAAAAGCTCAGGGGCCTGCTCAGCCCAAACTTAGTCTTTCAGACGACTGTGAAACTCAATGGAGGGATTTCAAGAGCACCACCTCACGTCTCTTATGATCCATAACAGTCTTTTACCGCTCACCTTCATAACAGTGTCCTCAACAGAGCGGAATTTTTAGTCCATTGAAGAAAGCGCTCACCTCAAAAAACGCTCACCTTCATAATGGTGTCATCCACCGAGCCCCCGTCACTGAGCACAAAGTAGTCCACTCTGAGGTAGTGATAGGCCACCTGGGGGGTGTGAGAGGGGGGAGGGTGAGGAAGCAACAAGCAGGGTGAGTGGGTGAATGGCCGTATGCTCATTTCGTCTCTGAGCACAAATTAGTCCACCTGATAGTGTTTTGAGATGACTATTGAGTCGAGGTGACTTTTGAGACGAGGTGTTTTGAGATGACTATTGAGTCGAGGTGACTTTTGAGACGAGGTGACTTTTGAGTCGACTCAAAAGTCACCTCATTTCGTCACTGAGCACAAAGCAGTCCACCTGATAGTGTTTTGATTGAGACGTCTCAAAACCTGATAGTAGACCTGTCAAGAAGGAAGGGGTGGGGGGATGAATTTTAGATAGTGATAGGCCACCTGGGGGGGTTGGGTTGGGTTGGGAACGGTTGAGCGCAAGAGTTGGGTGGTTTGTGAGTCAGACGGTCTCATCGTGGGGTGATTCGATTCGGGGTCAAACAGGGACCCCCCATCCCGATCCCCCCAGCAAATGGGGGGTCCTTGTTTGATCCCGATCCCCCCAGCAAATGGGGGGTCCTTGTTTGATCCCGATCCCCCCAGCAAATGGGGGGTCCTTGTTTGATCCCGATCCCCCCAGCAAATGGGGGGGTCCTTGTTTGATCCCGATCCCCCCAGCAAATGGGGGGTCCTTGTTTGATCCCGATCCCCCCCAGCAAATGGGGGGTCCTTGTTTGATCCCGATCCCCCCAGCAAATGGGGGGTCCTTGTTTGATCCCGATCCCCCCAGCAAATGGGGGGTCCTTGTTTGATCCCGATCCCCCCAGCAAATGGGGGGTCCTTGTTTAATCCCGATCTCCCCTCGGATGCAACAGCCCCCCCACCCCAGCGCTGACCACGAATAGTCGGCCTTGAGACAGTGACAGGCCACCTGGGGGGTTTGGGATAGGGGAGGGGTTAAGATCATGGTACATGGGGAAGGAGCAGAAGCCCACCACGTACTCAAACCCCCGCCCCCCTCCCCCTGCCCCGCGCCCCCTCCCCCTGCCCCCCGCCCCCTCCCCCTGCCCCCCGCCCCCTCCCCCTGCCCCCTGCCCCCCGCACCCTCTCCCTGCCCCCTGCCCCCCGCCCCCTCCCCCTGCCCCCTGCCCCCCGCCCCTCCTCCTGCCCCCTGCCCCCACCCCCTGCCCCCTGCCCCCCGCCCCCTCCTCCTGCCCCCTGCCCCCACCCCCTGCCCACGCACTTGCAGGCACACATCTAGTGTGGCAGGGTTAAGATCATGGTACAAGGGGAAGGAGCACAAGGGAGATAGAGCACAAGGGAGATAGAGCACACCTGCAGCCACACATGTAGCGTGGAGGAGTTAAGATCACGGCACATGGGGAAGGAGCACAAGGGCAGCTCGTACTCAAACCGCTGGCCCCTCTTTTGCCACTGTGCGCCTTTTTTCTCGTCTTTCCCCCTTTTAAACTCCCCTGCTCTCCCCTCCTGCCCATGCCCACCCCCCACGCACCTGCGGTGCGGCCACACTTGCAGAGTGGAGGGTTGAGATCACGTACATGGGGAAGGAGCACAAGGGAGGAAGAGAGGGGAGGAGGGAGAGCAGCTAGAAGAGAGAGCAGAACGCACCTGCAGCCACACGTGCAGCGTGGAGGGGTTGAGATCGCGGTACATCGGAAAGGAGCAGAAGGGAGGGAGGAGGGAGGGAGAGCAGCTAGAAGAGAGAGCAGAACGCATCTGCAGCCACACGTGCAGCATGGAGGGGTTGAGATCGCGGTACATCGGAAAGGAGCAGAAGGGAGGGAGGAGGGAGGGAGAGCAGCTAGAAGAGAGAGCAGAACGCACCTGCAGCCACACTTGCAGCGTGGAGGGGTTGAGATCGCGGTACATGGGGAAGGAGCAGAACGCCAGCTCGTACTTAAACTGCTGGCCCCCCTTGCCGCCCCAATGCTGCAAGCTGTAGCCTTGTCTGTTCTGCGCTTGGGTGGCGTTGCTTGGACTGGAGTGTGCAAGAGACGAGTGTGTCTGGGCGGGTGTGCGAGCTGGCATCCCGGTGTGTTTAGAAGTGTGAGCAGTGACATGTGATTGCGAGTGGGAGCGTGTGGGGAGGAGGGACGAGAGCGCTGATGCTGGTGCTGGTGGCTCGCTGTAGATAGCTACATCTGAGCGGTCTGCAGGGGAGGGTGGAGGGGGATGAAGGCAGGAGGTCACGAGGAAAAGAGAGAGGGGAAGATGTTGAAGCGTCTCACAAGGAGAGCAGCAGATGCTGGTGAAGGAAGAAGGGGGGAGGGCTGGGGGAGGAAGGGAAAGAGACAGGTTGAGGTAGTTGTATTATTGCAGGGTAGCAATGCAAGACAGGGAATAATACGTAGCATTTGGAAGAATGGAACAAGACATAGCGTTTGAATTGAAAATGGAATGGAGTAGGACGTGGAGTTGCATATGAAAAACGCATAACAGTGCAGCGCACAAGTTTTGGCATTTCATTTTCCAGTATAGGCTACATACAAAAAAAAAAAAAAAAAAAAAACCAGCATACATCACACTCCATGGAGATCATCGATAACTCTCACACACCAAGTTGAATCATGACAGTTCCGCCGCCATTCCCTGTGCTTTCCACCGCAAGTTTGCAGTGGTACACTGCCGTCTCATACATCAATAAATGGTGCTCTCCAGGGTAAATTCCCCTCAGCCTGCCCGTCAAATGCCGCCCGTCCCGCCCAACCCAGTAGCAGTGGCCCAGCTGACGTGGACCAATGGGAATGCAGGGAAACGTGGGGGAAAGAGGGGAAAGGAAGGGGCGAGAAGAGACGGCAGGAACGATATGGAGTCAGTCAGTCCGCTCTCACTCACCCACTGTCCACTCTCGCTCAACCCACTTCCTCCACCCTCATTTTTCCCCTGACACACCACGCAACCCCTCATCTGCAATCTCCCTCATCATTTGCAGGCTCATTCCAATCACTGCAAACGCTTTGACTGACAGTTGCTAGGTGGTTACCCCATCAACCTCTCAACTACAGCAACAGCGCATTCTCATCGCTGCAAGCTCATTGGCCGGCAGCCAATTCCCTGTTCATTCATGGTGGAAGCCAATGAGTTCGCAGCGATGAGAATGATGAGTGGCTGTGGCTGTCTGTTGCAATAATCACTCACTCCTCATTCCCTTCCCTCTCACTCACCCCATCATCTGCAATCTCCCTCATCACTCGCAGACTCATCCCGATCGCTGCAAATTCATTGGCCGACAGCCGGTACCCGCTGCGCTGGACGAATCGCGGCTGCCCGAGCGCCGCGAGCGCGCCAGGTGGCGCCTCCTGATAGGCCCGCTGCAGCAGCGAGTGACGTGTCAAGCAGGGGTTGGTGATGGAGTTGTTGTGGTCGATGTTGGCCCCCTCCACGTCAGCATCTGTTGAAGGAGGGGATTCAAGGTGACAGAGAAGGGGAAATAAGAAATGTCAGATTGATTAGTCCACACATTGCCTAGATACATTCAAACGTGAAATTAAAAATGTGTTGAGACGTCTCAACTTTTAAGGCGATCTTTGAGGTGCCTCAAAAGTAATTCAAACGTGAAATTAGAAATGTCTTGAGACGTCTCAACACATTAGTCCGCACAGTGCCTAGATCCATTCAAAAGTCACTACATGTTTTCCTTTCCCCTTACCCTCCTCTCCTCCCCCACCACCGCTTCTGCTACCCCTCCCCCATTCCCCCACCTTTACCTGTGCGCAATCTAGTCCGACCTGTGCCAAAATCCATCTTAAGTCCCTTCGCTACGGCCCGTTTTCCCCCTTCCCCTTTCCCCTTCCTCTTCCCCTTCCCCTCCCCTTCCCGTTCCCCCCCTCCCGATTTACCTGTCCTTAGTCTAGTCCGCGCTGTACTAAGGTCCATCTTGAAGCCCTTCGCCACGGCCCCCGCAATCACCGCCGACTCAACCTCGCTGCTCCACCTCACTCCCCGCAAATCCCCCCGCGCGCCCGCGCCTACGCCCGCGCCTGCGCCCCAAGAGCCCCTCGCGCGCTCCTCCTCCGCGCCTCCCCACACCTCCGCTTCGACCGTTCGCCAGTTCCCCGGACTGCGCCCGCTCGTTATAAGCAAGAACACAACAGCGGGGATGAAGATTAGTAACAGCAGGCGCGACGTAGAACACCATTGCCGAGTCGCGCGACCCTTGGACGATACTAACTTCGGCGGCGCCACCATGGGACCGCCATTCGCGCCTCGGCCGTACCCCGCGCCGCGGCGATACGGCGGCTCGTCCGACGTGTAACCGTGAAACGACCCGTCCGATCCGTACCCATCTTCCCCACCGCGCGCCGCGCGGGCGTACGGCGGAGGGCCCGGGCCAGCGGAAGGTGGGTAACTAGGCCCGTAAAACCCGGCTCCGGCGGGGGGAGGGCCGTTGGCATAGGGCGGGAAAGGAGGCGGTCCGTGGGAGTATAGCGGGCCTTGCGGATACGGCGGGCCTTGGGGGTACGGCGGGCCTTGGGGGTACGGCGGGCCTTGCGGATAAGGCGGGCCTTGCGGGTAAGGGGGATTAGGGTACGGTGGCTGGCCCGTGTGGTGCGGAGGAGGGTGCTGACGTGGCAGTGAGTGTTGGTGAAGAGACGGGTGCTGAGAAAGGTCTGGCTGGGAAAGGGGGCGCGACGGCGGGTTGCTCGGGCGGGACTGCCGCGCGGCAGCGCTGCTGTTGCTGCCGCCCGTGCTGCTGCTGATGCTCGTTTTGCGCTTTGGCGGCGACATGACCGTTGAACAACCACAGCTCGAAGTGGGGTGTAGTCGCGACGTTGTAAAAAAATTAATAACATATTTCTGAACCAGATAGACATGTCGATGTAGTATAATGGTCAGTATCTCCGCCTGTCACGCGGAAGATCCGGGTTCGATCCCCGGCATCGGCGTTTAGTTTTCTGGCTGTGTCCCTTTGTTGCCCAAGCCACCCGTGAGTACTCACCACCACTTTCCCCTGCATTTGCTGGCTGGATCGTTTGTTTTCCATGTTCATCCTAACCCCTGCATCAAGTAGACTCTTCCCATAGTTTTTACACTGAGAGCCATGCAACCATGCACTGACAGCCATACGACCATGCACTGACAGCCATGAAACCATGCACCGGCAACCATGCACCCATGCACCTATACACTGACAACCTGATGGGCCGGACCATGGCAATGCCAGGAAGTGAATAGTTGCTGGTAAATGGAAGAGTTGCCCTGGGTGTCCTTTCGAAGATGGTAATGCATGCTCCCTACGCTCTAAGCATCCTCCTACAAATACCATGACCATGCACACGTTATTGCTGTACCTTCTGTATCGAGCAGCTTGTTTTATGAATAATGATTCAGATCATAGCATAAGATATGCCAGTACAACTCTACATGTAGCTAGTTGCTACATTCCCTAGGTTATCTGCTACAACTAATGATGCCTTTAGGCATCCTGAGAAGCCCATCCCTGACCACCAGGGCTGAGCAGCCAGATGGTAGGAACACCACACCCTTCTAAAGCCACAGAGAATGTATATCTCTCCAACGCCAGCACCAGCAGCAGCACCAGCAGCACCACCAGTGGCTCACAGCTGGATACTAATCTGCGCCACGCCTTGTGCATTTGGCACGTGGAAAGTTTTTTCGACGGTCTGCCCGTTGACCTGGAAGCGGGCGCGGTAGGTGCCGTGGAAGCCCTTGAACGCGAGCGGCTGCCCGGGGGAGATCTTGGCGTTGAGGTGTGTGCTCCATTCCTTGCGCAGACGCACATACCTGCGTGAGTGAGAAAAGAGGTAATTGGAGGAAGAGGAATGAGAGGAGATTGGAATGTATGCAGAGGCGGCCCGGAACTTGCCTTGGTGGTCAGCGAGATACGAGGGAGAAGGAAGACGGGTGAGGAGAGGAGGAGAGGAGTGTGCGTGCCGGAACAAGAATGCAGGAGATCAGAGAGTCTTAGAGCTCCTGGTTCTCACCTCTTCCCCAGCTCGTTATCGACGTAGTTAAAGTCCGAGAAGCACGCCTCGCACGGCTTGCACATGCCGGGATCCACGTCCTTGTACTTGTCGCACGAGGCGCGCCCCGCGGACCAGTTCACGATGCCGTGCACCGCGGGGTGCGCGAACGCCTCGCGCATGACCGACTCGAAATAGTCCGCGCGGATCGCGTCGTCAGGCACCTTGTTGAAATCGAGCTCCGTCAGCCAGATGGGAATGCCTGCGACGGCCAGCTGGTTCAGATCGTGGCGGAGACGAGCCTGTGGGGAGAAACGTGGTGATAGAGAAGAGCAGACGGGGTATGGTGATTCAAGGACTCTATGTATTGAGTGCACAGGGTAGCGGAGATGTGCTGATTGACTGACTGACGTTCCACTTCGTCATCTCATTCACATTTCAAATTGTTCCCAGTCCAAGAATTTAACTCACCGGCTGGGGTTCCTTGCTGTAGTGCGACTCGACGCCGATCCCAGTCACCGGCGCGCCACGTGTCGTCATCTGCCAAACCTTCGCGAGGTAATACTCGGGATGCGACACGCCGTCGCACTCCTCGACGGTATTATAATCATTAATAAACAGCTGCGCTTTGTTGTCGATCGCTGCAGTAGCCTTGTACATCCACTCGTGCACCTGCGGCCCGAGACGGTCCGCGAAGTAGTTGCCGTGAAGCGGCTCGTTGAGTACGTCCCAGTGCTGCACCTGCCCCTTGTAACGGGTTACCGCATGGTTCAGTCTTCGCTGCATCGCCGCCCACAGATCCTCGTCGTTGAGGTCCTGGAGAGCGGAACCGGGAGGAAAGGCATGGAGAGGGGGAGCCAGCAGGGGAGGAAGTGAGTGTGTGGGGGGGAGAGGGACGGGGACGGGCGGAGGAAGGGGGAGGGGGTTGCGAACTCCAGGAGAAACGGGGAGAGAAGGGGCGGGGAAAAGAGGCGGACGCGTGGAAGCGGAAGGCTTGAGGCGGGTGGAGAGGCGGAAACGTGAGTGGGGGAGAGTGAGCGATGGGTGGAGGGGGGAAGTGGTAGGGGGAAAGGGAAGAGGCAGGGGCCTCATGGACTTGTAAAACGTACAAAGTGTAGCAATGCTCACCTTTACCCACGACTGCACGAAATTCTCGACTGCCCAGAACAGGTTGTGCGCGCGAACGTTGATGTTTCGCGCACGGAACCAGTTGGTCATCGCGTCTGTTACGGTGTAGTTCTCTTCACCCTGCCGATACCCCTCGTTAAAGTACCATTTGCCCTCGTTATTGAACACAGCCCAGTTGAAGCGATCTTTGAACCACTGTAGGGCAAGGGAAATAAAATAAGACGAAGAGAGGGGGGAGAGGGTGAGCTGTTGTGGTTTTCGCCACTGTTCGAAGGGGAAGGCTAGCATCACGAAGCTCATGCGTTACCCTCTACAAATATCGGCTACCAGTCGGAACGCTTAGATTATCTGTTTTTGAAAACGAACCGTTTCTTGCCACGCATATTCCAACATCCCTTATCCGTTCCAATTCGCATACCTTCTGGTAGTTGGTGTCGTAAAGGATCGCGCCGTTCACGTTCCCGCCAAACGGAAAATCCGACTGAATCTGGTTAATCACCACGTCCACAGGCTGCCCGTTATTTCCCGTCACCGTCAACGACACGTCGCGCATGCGATGCTTCTCGATGCTCGCCTTCTGCTGCGCCAGCCATTCGTCCTTGTCAACCTTTCGCAACGAAGCCTGCGCGATCCAGATCTCGGTCCCGGGACTCGCGCCCTGGATATAAATACTGGCTTTATCCAGCGGGTCGTGTAGCGTGAATCCGCCCATGAGTTTCGTCCAGCAATTAGACTTTGCGATCGCGCCGCCGATGCAGACATACTGGCCGTTAATGTTAACGTTCGCGTTCACATACTGCCGGTCGCCGGAGTTCAGCCGGACCCAGACGATCATCTCGTACGACGCGGCCGGCAGGTTGGACACGCTTTGCATCGGCCCGGAGTAGGCTTCGGAGCGATTTGTGCAGACACCGTAATTTAAGCGGGTGTCCTTTACCGCGTACACGGACGACCAGCCGAAGCCTTGCCACGGGTTGATGCCTTCAGAAAACTCGCCGTTCTGGAAGAGGTTGTTCGGGAGCACTTGCTTCGACGGGAGAGCGGAGCACTGCGGGACGCAGGGGGGGGGGAGGGAGAATCACGAAAGAAGTTGAAGCGTGGATGAGAATCTTCGCTTCCAAAACCGAAAGGCATTGGCAATAAGACTAAAACGTTCTGGCTGAGCAAGAAGACTTTCGTCACTTACGAAGACGACTTCAAAAAGGTTCTCCATGGCCTTCCTTCCTCTGATCTTGTCGCCATCGCCGCCTTCCTTCAGGTAGTCGAGCGACAGTAGCCCGTCAGGTTGCCGGTACTTGGCCCATTCGTGCTCGTACTTCGATGTCGGTAACCCGAGAAAATCCTCTGCGCCAACCAGAACGACCGATGCGAAAGCTACAAACAATAGCGCAGGGAGCGCCGAGAGCCGAACTGGACCCATCTTTAATACAAAACGGAGAGGTCCGGAGGTGCGAAAGCGGCTGGATCGAGGAGAGGGTGATGCGCTGACAAGAGGATGGAGATCGATGAGGTGCAGTGTAACAGGAGATTCCTCCCCAACAGGGGATTCGAGCATGTAGACTGATTTGTGGATGGGCAAATGTTGTGAATTTCAATGTGGGAATTGAAGGGGGACAATGCGACATTTGAAATGTGTGGCATTGGCGGCTCGATAATTCTTGACGACGCGACTCGACGAAGGGGTACGGAAACTAACTTGCGAACGTATTCAAGAAAGGGGGCTTCGCGAGAGGTGGTCGGCGATTGGCGTGTGAGGTTGCGAATAGTCGAGCGAGTCGCTCAAGCTCGCACCCAAGGTCTGCGATTCGCAATGAATTCCGGATGCTCTTCCGTGATTGGCTATAGCAGCCGGTTGAGGGGAAGGCAGGGGCAGGAGCAGTTACGACGAAGCAGCCAGTGTAGTGGGTCGCTAGTTCAAACGACGGGCGCCAAACCTTTTGCCGAAATATGAGCGACAACGTTTGCAAAGGTTCGAAGAAACTCTAGAGGGCAAGATTTCGTCGCAAGCTCGCGAGTTTGGCGCGGCAACGCACCTGCTGAGCTGATTTGTCGCAACGAGCCTTTCTCCCTCGCCAGGTGAGGCTCTGACACACAGCGCGATGGTTGATTTCGCAACTCTCGCACTTCGGTCAAACCCGCCAATGAAAACTTTCGCACTCCGCTGAATTTCTCTAGCATGAGTTGCATCCGTTCGAGGGTTCAAGGCAGGTTCAGCCCTCCCCAGATGCTGCCTGACAGAAGCCAAATGGCGCGATATACTGCCCGCCAGTTCTGATTATAGAAATTCGTTTGGACGAGGATGATCGAAAATTCTAAACATTGAACTTATCTTTCCAGTTCCAAGTCTTCACCATTTGTTAGTATATTAGCACTTGTATACAACATGGACCACTTTTTAGGTAAGATGACACACAAAAAAGATGCAACAAATCGGATAACAACCGCTTAGGGGTCAAACTGAAATCAACGCCACCCAGACTGCTGCAGCTCCAGCCAGGAACGTGGCAATGTACGCTAGCATGACAACGGTGGTTTCCGCCATGCCCGAGAGCTCCAGGTGGTGGTGGAAGGGCGACATGCGGAAAAGTCTCAACCCGGTGCCCGTGATCCGCTTGGTGAGCTTGAAGAAGGAGACCTGTGTTGTGAAGGAAACGATTAAGAGAAAAACACAGCGTGAGTAGACCATTTGGAAGACCCTGTGGCTGTGCATTCAGGAGTACCTTAAGCAAAGTTTCATGCAAGTGAGTGTACCTGTAGCAAAGCCAGCAGCAACTGGGTTTACCTGTAACATGACCGACACAGTCTCCAGGAAGAAAACAGCCGAGGCGACGAGGAGTGGAAAGAAGTGGCCAACAATCAGCCGTGGCAGAGAGGGCCGCCCCGAGAGCCAAGGAGCCCATGTCTCTGATAAACACTGTTGCCTTGTGCCAGTTGTAGTTATGGCAGCTGTAGCGACGGCAGCTGTATGCGGCTGTTTACCTGTAGCAATGGCGGCTGTGCGTATCTGTACCTATCTGTACCGAAGCATGCAGCAACCGGGTTTACCTGTAGCATGACCGAAACTGTTTCGAGGAAGAAAACAGCAGACACAATAAGAAGAGGGAAGAAGAGGCCGGTGGTGGCAGCCATTGCAGCGAGCGCCGCCCCGAGAGCCAAGGAGCCCGTGTCTCCCATGAACACTGCCGCCTTGTGCCGGTTGTGCGCTAGAAACCCCATGCACGCCCCCGCCATCGCTGCTCCAAACGCCCCCATGGCTGGTGAGAGGGGGGATGGAAGGGGAGGGCGTGAGTGAGAGAGCATCAGAATGAGAGGGCAGCGAGTAGCGGCAAGTGGTGGAGAATGGACACTGCCGCCTTGTGGCGGTTGTGCGGTTGTGTGAAACCCCATATGCATGCTCCCGCCATCGCTGCTCCGAACGCTCCCATGGATGGCGAGAGGGATAAGAATGGGGATGGAGAATGGAGGTGGGAGATGTGGATGGAAGGGAAGGGTCTGCGACTTCAAGGCATGAGCGTCAACCCGGCCAGACCCAGCCTGGCCCGACCCGACCCGGCCCGGCCCGACCCGGGCTGGCCCGACCCGACCCGACCCGACCCGATCAGGCCCGGCCCGGCCCGGCCGGACGCGACTCGACACGACCTGACCTGTGGCTCATGAATCTGTCTACAACCCTGAATCTGCCACGAGTGGCTCATGACCATGTGTGGAATGTGTAACTGGGCCCCGTAACGAGGTGCAAATGAGTTCCCGAGGTGCAAATGAGTTCCCGAGGTGCAAACAAGTGGCCCTTGAGTCGGCTCGAAAACTCCTGAATGACCACGTGGAACGAATAATACGGTCTAATCGTGAGGTGAAAAAAGGAGTTCTCGAGATGCAAATGAGTTCCCAAGGTGCAAATGAGTTCCCAAGGTGCAAATGAGTTCCCAAGTTGCGGGGGGGACTTACCAGGGTAGATGGGAAGGCAGGCAATGGCCATAGCAATGAATGCAATGGCAGTGGTGCCGGCTGCCAGCCCATCAAGACCATCTGTGAGGTTGACAGCGTTGCTCATTGCTGCCACACAGAAGACCGTTACCGGCACATACCACCTGGATGGAGGGAGTTGTAGGGAGATAGAGAGGGTAGATTTATAGAGGTTCATAAAGGGTACAAACATGAGTGAAGTTGACAGAATTGCTCTTTGCCGCCACGCAGAAAACTGTAGAAGGGTACACACCACCTGGACGGGGTTATACGGAGAAAGGGTCGATTTTATGAAGGGCACAAAACTGCCTACATACATACATGGTCATACCATCAAATGACACTGCTGAAACATGACGGGTCGGAGAAAACGAATAACACTACAATGGCACTGTAGTCGTAGCCTCTGGGAGAGACAATGAATGAACAGAGACCAGTTTTTGAGGCGCCTTAACAATTTGTAAGGAGGCATACCTGCCAAAGTAGTACCACCAAAGACCAGTTTTTGAGGCGCCTAAAAAATAGCCTCTGTTTTTGAGGAGCCTCAAAAATAGCCTCTGGAAGAGACAATGAATGAAGAAGCATACCTGCCAAAGTACCAGAGACCGATTGGCTGTGGAAAAGGCACTATATTCTTCCTGAAACGCATGACATCCAGTCAGAAAGGTGGACGGAGGACGAGTAGGGAGATTGCGTTGGGGGGAAGCGGGAAAACGCATGAGATTAAAAATAAAGAAAAGATGGATGGAGCAGCAGAGAACACGTGGTATGCACATATGATGGTTAGAAACGTAGGGCCCTCCCGCTCTCTCTCTCTCTCTCTCTCTCTCTCACACACACAGAGATTACAATCATTGCAAACAAAGGAGAAATTCAGAGAGCCAGGTGCCAAAGCCGCGTGCTAAGTGCTTGAATAAAGAGAAGGGCAAGTCATACATGGAATAGGGCGATTGAAGATTTGCCCCGTGCAACCAGTAGCTGAGTGCCAGTCCTATTGCTACCTGTAGGGTTGTGAGGAGGGGGGACGAGGGGGGACGAGGGGGGGGGGGAGGGGAAGAGGAGGGGAGGGGCGAAGAAAAGGGGGAGCACTTGAGGAAACTTATAGGAAAGCAGCAGCAGCAGCACTTCAGGTTGGCCCCGAGCAACCAGTAGCGGACGCGCCTTCTTTCGAGGCGCCTCAAAAGTGGACCTGTGCAAGCAGTAGCTGAGGGCCATGCATGCCCACTGTAGAATTCCCAAAAGTAGAATTCCCAAAAGTAGAGTTCCCAAAAGTAGAATTCCCAAAAATAGAATTACCAAAAGTAAAATTCCCAGAAGTAGAATTCCCAAAAGTAGAATTCTCAAAAGTAAAATTCACATAGTGGATCCGAGCAAGCAGTAGCTGAGGGCCATGCATGCCCACTTCACACCAACATCATCATCGCCACCGTTGCTGCTGTCACTCCTGCCAACTCAGGGGAACTCCCTCCCTCCCAGTCGCCACCCTCATCGTCACTAACCCGAGAATACTAAAAAAAGCCTTAGCCCCCCTCGCTTTCCCACTGCAGCCCAAGCTTGGCCATCAGGCTGAGTCCATAGTTTTGCTTCCTGGCCAGAGACAAACCGTCATGCACCGCCCCCACCGCCATCATCGCCACTGTCACCGCTGCCACTCCTCACCCTTCCCACTCTCCCTCTAGTCTTGGAGCTTCCTTACCTGCAGCCCAAGCTTGGCCATCAGGGTGAGTCCGTAGTTTTGCTTCCGAGCCAGAAACAGCCCATCATGCACCAGCCCCACCATCATGGCCATCACCCACTCTCCCCACCACCATCATGGCCATCACCCACTCTCCCCACCACCATCATGGCCATCACCCACTCTCCCCACCACCATCATGGCCATCACCCACTCTCCCCACCACCATCATGGCCATCACCCACTCTCCCCACCACCATCATGGCCATCACCCACTCTCCCCACCACCATCATGGCCATCACCCACTCTCCCCACCACCATCATGGCCATCACCCACTCTCCCCACCACCATCATGGCCATCACCCACTCTCCCCACCACCATCATGGCCATCACCCACTCTCCCCACCACCATCATGGCCATCACCCACTCTCCCCACCACCATCATGGCCATCACCCACTCTCCCCACCACCATCATGGCCATCACCCACTCTCCCCACCACCATCATGGCCATCACCCACTCTCCCCACCACCATCATGGCCATCACCCACTCTCCCCACCACCATCATGGCCATCACCCACTCTCCCCACCACCACCATCGCCATCACCCACTCTCCCCACCACCATCATCGCCATCACCCACTCTCCCCACCACCACCATCGCCACTGTCACCGTGCAAGGATCAACTGACCTGCAGCCCAAGCTTGACCATCGGGATGAGTCCATAGTTATGCTTTTTCACCTGCCCATAGTTATAGCGACAACCCTGCCCTGCCCCATCTTCCACCGCTCCCACTGCCATCATTGCAGCCGGTGCCGCTATCACTCTGCTCCCTCCCTTATCTGTGTGCTGCCTCGCCTGTAAGCCAAGCTGCCCCATCAGGGAAAGCCCACAGTTGTGTTTCTTAGCGAGAGACAACCCATCATCCACCGCCCCAATCAGCAGCATCGCCACCATCACCATCGCAGCCCCCTTTCCCTCACTGGTTGTGCTCCTTACCTGCAGCCCAAGCGGGTGAGCCCACAGTTATGCTTCTCAGCCAGCGACAACCCATCATCCACCGCCCCCACACCCATCATCCACCGCCCCCACAGCCATCATCCACCGCCCCCACAGCCATCATCCACCGCCCCCACAGCCATCATCCACCGCCCCCACAGCCATCATCCACCGCCCCCACAGCCATCATCCACCGCCCCCACAGCCATCATCCACCGCCCCCACAGCCATCATCCACCGCCCCCACAGCCATCATCCACCGCCCCCACAGCCATCATCCACCGCCCCCACAGCCATCATCCACCGCCCCCACAGCCATCATCCACCGCCCCTACAGCCATCATCGCCACAGTGGATGTCGTTACTCCAGCCAGCTCAGGCGGACTCCCAGTCGCCACCCTCGCTACAAGTCTTAGCCCCTCTCCCTTCCCCCCTCTCCCTTCCCCCCTCTCCCTTCCCCCCTCTCCCTTCCCCCCTCTCCCTTCCCCGCCTCTCCCTTCCCCCCTCTCCCTTCCCCCCCTCTCCCTTCCCCCCTCTCCCTTCCCCCCTCTCCCTTCCCCCCTCTCCCTTCCCCCCTCTCCCTTCCCCCCTCTCCCTCGCATCTTTGTGTTTGCTTACCTGTAGACCCAGCTTCCCCATCGGTGTAAGCCCGTAGTTGTGTTTCTTAGCCAGAGACAACCCATCATCCACCGCCCCCACCGCCATCATCGCCACCGTTGCCGCTGTCACCCCTGCCAGCTCAGGCGGACTCCCAGTCGCCACCCTCGCTACAAGCACACCCAGCGGCACGAAGAACAGCCCCCCCATAGTGGGCGTCCCCGCTTTAGTCACATGCGTGGCGGGGCCCTCCTCTCGCACCACCTGCTGGGCTTTAAGCGAGCGCAGGAACGGGATGGCGATGGCGCCCGCGTATGCTGACGTGGCGGCGGCGGCTAGGAAGGGAATTGTGAGGAAGAAGGCTGCGAGGGGGCGGCGGATGAGGCGCCAGATGAAGGAGTCGACGAGGAGGAGCGTTGAGAGGAGGGCGAGGAAGAGTAGAACCGAGATGATTCGGCCGTGGGATATCCTGTGGTTGGGAGGAAGCACAGGGCCAAGTGGGACGAGGGCAAGGGGGTTAGAAGGCGGTTAAGGGGCGGCGGATGAGGCGCCAGATGAAGGAGTCGACGAGGAGGAGCATTGAGAGGAGGGGGAGGAAGAGAAGCACTGATATGACCCGGCCATGGGATACCCTGAGTGAGGTGGGAAGGACGGGGAAAGAGGGAGTGCGACAAGTGGGAGGGGGAAAACAAAGGGAAGGGGGAGTAGAGGAGAGCGGGGAGCAAAGGAAAGGGGGAGGGGACGACGGGGGTTCATGGGCTGGTAAGGGGGCGGAGTTAATACGTTAAAATTAAGAGCTTGCCTCCTTTGAAAATCCCTTCACAGTCTCCTCACCTCATCTTTCGTTTCGTCTCTTCCTCGCTCTCCACCGATCTCTCCGTCTCCCGCGTTTTAAGCGCCGCCGATCCCACCGCCTCTACCCCTTTCTCAACCTCCTTAGCCGCCGCCCCAAGAAGCTCCGACGAAGCTTCCTCCGAGCCGCCCAATTTGAACTTTAATCGCCGCCCGTTCACGCCGAGCCGCTCCTCCGGGCCGCCGCCAAGTTCGTCAAGTGCGTCCCCGAGTGACACGTCAGCAGTCACCGCGGCCAAGCCGCCCACGCGGTGAAGCGCGCCGTTGCCGGAAGAGGAGAAGGCACTCGTGTCCACGTCATCACCGTCGTCGCCGTCGCATGCCTGATGGGAGTGAACGACGGGTTGAGCGACAGGGTGAGGGCGAGGCGGGATCAAGGCAAGGGGCGCGAGAAGGCAAGGTGATCAGACCCGCGAGTAACTACGCCTAGCTCAACTCTACTTTCTAAGCGCTTCGGAATTACCAGGTCCAACTATATGTCTATTTCTCAGGCGCCTGAAGACCGGCACTAACGGCCCACGTTAACGACTATTTTTTTTTAGCACCCGCGCATTATTTTTGTCTGAGTCGACTCAAAAATCTTTTGTTAGGCGGAAGAGACTGGTGCCTTGCAACTTTTGTTAGGCGCCTCAAAAAGGCTGGTGCCTTAGAACAACAACTGTTACGCGCCCCTTGCCCACCTTAACGTCGAGGCGTGGCGTCGCCGTGGATGGCGGTCCCCTGAACTGGAATCGCAGAGAGGCCGACCTGTCGCACCCGGCGGTCGCACGGCGTCGCACGATTGGCTCTGCGAGAAAGCGTCGCGTCGCACGGCCATATGCAAAAGCATCCAAGCTGCTGCCACTGTCGCACAGCCGTAGCCTCGCGCGATCTGCTTTTTGACTCGGCGCTACGTTTGTCGTCATCGTCATCGTCGGTTTTCCTGTCGTCCGCAAGTCAGCGAATCTCCGTACACTGCACACTGTCGAACTCGCCAGAGCCGTCGATTGCCCATTTTGCGCTCTACAGGAGGTGATCGCCGCCGTTAATGTCGTCCCAGTGAACCCCCCCGCTACTGCCACCTCAGCCGGCATCGCCACGTGTGGGATACCTTTGTCAAGAGGAAAAGGGAGCAACAGACGAGAACCTGGTAACCTAAACAGCTGCACCAATGCCTACTGCTGAGTTCTAGAAGTACCAAGTCGTCTTAAAGAGGCTTTTTGCCTTCAAGAGTTTTTGTAAAGCCCCGACGAGATTGCCTATAAGCCTACTCAAACGCAATTCGTTAGGTCACTAGTGCTCCTTGGTGCTTCCTGTCCCTACGCCTCATCGTCGGTCAACTTGAGCGAGAATCTGTGACAATCACTACGTTTTTTTTTATTCCGCCTCCTCCACCCGAGTTCGAGCTGACTTACTTGCGAACTCGATGAACGCGCACGGATGCCCGGTTTTGTCGCTTTAATAATCTTTTGCGCGAGTAGGAACGACGGTCGTCACGAACAGCAGCTCCAAGCGTCAGAAGCAGCAACACTGCCGTGAAGGATTATGCTGCTGATGTAAAATAGGATAATACTACTGAAGATCGCTTCAAACGTGAGAAATGCAAATTGGGTGGTGAGCTCCCTCTTCATCCCACCCACCCACAACCTTCATTGACGGTTCAGGGGCTGGATGGGGCTGCTTGACACGCAAATCTGCAGCCTAGTATATGCTTGCAGCCATGGACTTGAAAAGAGAGAAAACGAGGTACCGAAGTGTGATTTTATCAGACCGTTTTGGGACCATGATAATCGCAGTTAAACGTTGTAGACCACGGAAACCAGGAGCGCATTCTCTGTTGCCACGAAATCCAAGCCAGAGCAAGAATGCATGAAGAAAGCCGGCCAAGGTTTTCCCTTGCGGATAGCCTTGAAAGTTTACCGTGGGACCGTTCCACGTGGCACGTGCCAATTAAATTTTTTCATCTTGCCGCAACATCACGCTGCCATCGTGCGGCGGCGGCAGCATGGTGCCGCGAGAGCGTGCCACCATCAACTGAAATTGCAGTTGGCTGCTAGACCGAACCAGACCAAACCATACCAAACCAGATCCAAACCACCCCGAAGCTTCCAAAAACAGCCGCGGTGTGATGGTGGAATCTTAACGCAGCGCGGGCAGGGAATAAAGCAAATGCGACGGGAAAGGAGGACGCACAGTGATAGGTTGCAGTGCTTTGAGAGTGCTCCCAGCAAGCAAGGGTTCGGCGAATGATGCAAAAGAGAATATTCTCGGTGTGTGCGGTGTGCTTTTCCCGCTGATAAGTAAAAGGTTCAAAATGTAACCTGTTTCAGGAGGATCCACTGCACTGTAGAGCAACTTACGGATTCGACGTAGAGAGAAGTTACAAGAGCTCTTGTATAGACGAACAATGTTTATGCTTGCTATACACCCAAGGCCACTCACCAGTTTACAGTCTAGCTCAATAAACGAATGACAGAGAGCTATCATCTCAGAGACGTCACTGCATTACAAAAATCACTTGTTCAAAAATAGTATGGTCCAAACATTAACTACACTCCTTAGGGCGTATTCCTATCTCCTATCAATCTGACCTCCTATCAAGCTCACACTGAAAAATCCCCTAAACCCAAAACCTCTTGCTACTTTTCCCAGGCAAAAGTACATTCTTGATAGGAGGTGGCCTTGATAGGAGGCTGCAGGAATACGCCCTTACTAACGCGAAATCAAACCAGATGTCGAAGGACAACAATGAGTTCAGGCTTCAGCTCTCAAGCTTCTTAGCAAAAAGCTTTCGAAAAGCAGCATTAGAGTCAAGTGGCACACCACCATCTCCTCCCGCCTCCCCATTCGCCTCTCCCCCTCCTCCCCCCCCTCCACCCATCTCCTCCCCCTTCGCACCGCCTCCCCCCTGCTGTCCTCTCCCCATACCACCCCTCCCCCCTGCTCTCCCCCCTCCTCTCCCCCGTGCCCTTCCAGCCACACCTCTCCCCAGGGCTTGTCCCACAGCCCGTGGCATGGCAAAGGTTGGCGAGCCAATCAGCTGCAGCTGACCCCCCCGCCTGGCACTAGCTGACAAAGGCTGCAAGCCGCGGCCTCCCCGCCCGCCTCTGCCGCCTCGGTGGGAAGGATGGTAGGCTGCAAGGAGGGGAGTGGGAAGATTTGGGGGGAGGGGGGCGAGCGAGAGGGGGGTGGGGGGGAGTGGAGGGGTGAGGGAAAGAGGGGAAGGACAGGAAAGGGAGTGGGAAATTGGGTAGGAAGGTATAAGAAGGAGCTACATCTGGTATATCCCCCATTTCAACCTAAGAAATGTACAATGTGACAAGTAAAACGAGCCATGATATCGCCAACTCGTAGTTCAAGAAACAGCATCAAGCCAGCAGAAAGAGTATCAAGAAACAGCAGCCCTTACCTTCCTCATCTGCTTCGTCATGCCCCTCCCTTCCTCCACCACCCCTTCCTCTCCCCCCTCCTCCTCCCCCTCCCCCCCACCCCCTTCCTCTCCCCCTGCCCCTGTCCCTGTGCCCGGAGGCATGGCTGGGGTCAGATTTCTTAATGGACACCTGGCGCCCTCTCATTGGCGTCCTGTTGAGCTTCTCTGCTGCTGCCACCGCCTCTGCACTGCCCAGCTCCACGTAGGCGAAGCCCTGAGAGAGAGGAGAGTGCAGAAAGTATGCAAGATAAGTGGGTGGGGGAGGAAAAGAAAAGGATGGAAGTTCAGTTCAATGAATGGAAACAGCCTGAGAAGGGCAGCGCAGGTGCGAAGACGAAGAGACAGAGGAAAAGGGGCTTCAGACAAGCAACAACAGCCCCAACAGCCACGTGGCCCTCGTGTTAACAGCCACAAGGCACTGCCAGTAGTCACTCCCCTGAACTGCCACGTGGCATTCACCCTGATCTGCCACTTGGCACTCACCCGGAATTGCCCAGTGGAGTGGTTGAGCACCACCCTTACATACCGTATCTCGCCACAATCCCTTAGCACTGTCATGTGGCACCCACCCTACCTGCCACGTGGCACTCAACCCTCTAGCCACGTGGCACACTCACCCGGAACTGCCCAGTGGAGTGGTTGAACACCATCCGCACGTCCCGAATCTCGCCACAATCTTTCAGAAGCTCCAGGATCTCGTCCCGAGTCGTCTGGTGGGAGGCAAAGGCAGAAGAGAGAAGCAGGAGAGAGAGAGGCAAGGGAGAGAAGCAAGGGAGAGAAGCAAGGGAGAGAAGCAAGGGAGAGAAGCAGGAGAGAGAGAGGCAAGGGAGAGAAGCAAGGGAGAGAAGCAGGAGAGAGAGAGGCAAGGGAGAGAAGCAAGGGAGAGAAGCAGGAGAGAGAGAGGCAAGGGAGACACGAGATTGAACTTCTGAGGTGCCTCAAAAGCAACAATCCTTCAGCAGCTCCCGGATCTCGTCCTGAGTCGTCTGGTGAGGGGGAAAGACAGAAGAGAGAATCAAGATTCATGTCGGGAGTAGCAGCAAACCTTTAGAACACGCTTAATCAACCTTCGGGACCGAACCCTGCTAGGGCTTCTTTCAGCAGCTCCCGGATCTCGTCCTCCTGAGTTGTCTGGTGAGCGGGAAACACAGAAGAGAGAAGCAAGAGAGAAGGAATAGGCGGGCCGCAGCACTTAAGACGCAGCCCTTCTCCGATCAGCTTGCTGCGATCGAACCTGTTCCTTGCCAATCTCAGAAAAGCAGCATCCAGGACAGGACAGCCCTTGGTGTTTTGAGTCGACTCAAAACACGACTCATTGCTGCGATCAAACACGCTCGTTGCCAATCTCAGAAAAGCAGCATCCGGGGCAAGGAACGGATGGACAGACCTTCAGCAGCTCCCTGGTCTCATCTGCCTGTAATTGTCTCGAGGGGAGACGAAAACACACAAGAGACGGAACAGAACGACAACGAAACGAAACTGCAAAAGGCGAGATAGTAAGTAGGGTACTCAGTGTGAGTAAGTTAGGCCACACGACTCACACTAAGATCCAGGTTCAAGAGAAGCACTGTATTCTTGTCTGTGGAAAATCGCCCCTGCTTCTTCTCAGTGCGAGTAGCAGGTTTGTCTTGCTCCTAGGCTACTCAATGTGTGTGAGTTAAGTTAGGCCAGGACTCACACTAAGATCGAGGTTCGAGAGGAACACCGTATTCTTGTCCGTGAAAAAGCGGCCCTGTTGCTGCCCTTGCTGCCCCTGCTGCCCCTGCTGCCCCTTCTCTTCTCCTTCCTTCCTCTCTGCCTCCTTATCCTCCCCATCATGCTTCGGCCCTTCCTGCTCCTGTGCCTCCCCTCCCTCTTCCCTTTTCTCTCCCCCATCTTCTGCCTTCTCCCCTCCCTTTCCTTTCCCACCCACGGTCTCTTTCCCTTCCTCTGCCGAACCATCACCTGCCTCCTTACCAAGCCCCTCCGTCCCTCGCCCCTGCCTCTTGTCAAACCCTAATCCCGGACGCTGCCTCTTGCCTCGATCTCTTCCCCCACCCTCCCCCCCTCTCTCCCCACCTCCTCCTCCACCTTCTCCTCCTTCTGCTCCTCCTCCTCCTCTCCCCTTCCCTCCACCCCTTCCTTCTCCTCGTGCGTCCCCTCCTGCCACCTTGCGCTTTTGCCCGCGCCCTTTCGCCATCTGCTGCTGTGGCTTCTGCTCCTGCTGCTGCCGGTGCTGTTGGTACAGCTGTGCCTGATCCTCGTGTGTGTGATAGGCTGCCACTTCAGCCAAGCGAGGGGCAACCTGAGAAGAACAATTAGAAAGAGAGAGGAAAACAGCAGCAACGGAGGGAGGAGAGCGGGCACTGTTGGTACAGCTGTGCCTGATCCTCGTGTGTGTGATACGCTGCCACTTCAGCCAGGCGAGGGGCAACCTGAGAAGAACAAACGGAAGGAGAGAGTAGAAACAGCAGGAAAGAAGGGAAGAGAGTGAGCACTGTTGGTACAGCTGTGCCTGATCCTTGTGTGTGTGATAGGCTGCCACTTCAGCCAAGCGCGGAGCAACCTGTTGATACGAGCAGATGGGTAAAGAGCAGGGGAGGGAGGAGATGGAGGAGATGGAGGAGATGGAGGAGAGAGCAGCCCTGATCGAGGAGGGAGAAGCAAACGCTCAGGCACGGGTCCCTCCTCATGACATGTCCTCCTTATTAGCATTTCCAGCTTCGGAAGATGTTTATAAAAAAAAGAGGCCGGTTGACGCATTCTCTCCTGAACCGTACCTTGTCTGATGAAGACCAAGGTGACTTTTGAGTCGACTCAAAAGTCAACCCCTAAACCGTACCTTGTCTGATGAAGACCAAGGTGACTTTTGAGTCGACTCAAAAGTCAACCCCTAAACCGTACCTTGTCTGATGAAGACCAAGGTGACTTTTGAGTCGACTCAAAAGTCAACCCCTAAACCGTACCTTGTCTGAAGCAAGATCCAGGTCCCCGAGAGTTCCCCACTCCCTCTCGAACCGTGTCCATGCTGAGCACACCTCCTGCACACATGAGACACACACGGAGAAACGGACACGCACATGATAAAAGCGTTGTTTCCGGACGTGATAGACGTCTCAAAACAACACAAGCTCGACTGACAAGTCACCTAGTAGCGTGTGTTCCCACTTTCTTTCGAACAAAATCCATGCAGCACAGCTCCTGTACACATTGGGAGTGAGACAGAATTCCGCCTGTAGCAGCAGCAGAAATACAGCATTATTATGAGGCGCCTAACAAGAAGAAACCATACCTCTGTGCCTGAGGGAGAGTCAAACTTCCGGCTGTAGCAGCGACGGAAGACTGATCGGGCCTGGTTGTAGCACCCCCTCTCCGTCTCAAACTGAGTGAAACCCAGCCAGGCTTGGTGAGAGGAGCCGCTGTTCGGGAGAAGAAACAAGGGGGGCAGGAGAGCAGGAGAGCAGGAGAGCAGGAGAGGAGGGTAACAGGAGCGCAATGGGAGGGTAACAGAGTAACAGGTGTGTTAAGACCGACCGTGCCAGGTTGTAGCCCCACCCGTCTCAAACTGAGTAAAGCCCGGCCGGCCTGGTGACAGGAGCCGCTGTTGAGATAGTGGGGTAGAAAAGGGGAGACACGGAAGGCACGGAGGCATACATAGAAGGAAGCAAAGGTGGAAGGGAGAACACGCAGTGTGCTGTGCAGGCCACACCAGACAATCAGAGGCACCCCCGCTCCGCATGAAACATGGCCATGCAGTAAGCCGTATGTGGCAGGGAAGCAGCACGGGAGCAGTAATAAAGGCAACAGATTGGAAGTAGCAACAGCAGCAACAGCAGCAGCAGCAGCAGCAGAATCCCCGAAACTCACTGCTTTCTCACGAATTGCTCCCAGATGGCCCTTCCAGCAGCTTCCTCCACCGCTCCAGTCGCACCTCCCCCAGATGCCCCCTCCCCCCCTGCCTTCTGCAGCTGACATTCTATGTGCGCTTGGTACCCCACCAGGTGCAGCTGTGCTTGCTGGTGGTCGGGGAAATACGAAGCCATGAACTCAGCTGCTCGCTGCAAGGGTGGTTAAGGTGGGGAGCGGGAATCAGCGGAAAAAACCAGGTGAGGTGAACTTTAATATGCGCCTGCTACCCCAAGACATGCCCAGTGGTTTTCAAGTGCAACTGGTCTTGCTGTTGGTTGAAACGACTACTTAGGAGGGGATTACTTCAATCACAAGATACTCGCGAGGCTACCAGCTTCAGTGATTTCCTCGCTAAGGACAGTCCCGTTAACAGCTCCTTTGGAAGATCCAGACGGCATGAGTTAATCCAATCACACGACAGACCTCGCAAGGGGGCTACAAGCTTGTACTTTTCATCCTCGCTAAGAGCAGCCCCTTCAACAGCGCCCTTGCAAGGCTCAGGAGGAGGGGCCAGCTAGTCTGATCTGATCACACGCGTTCTGCATGCATACCTCAAAGGTTGCTCGCAGCGTGGCTACCAGCGCCGTCTTTTCATCCTCGCTAAGAACAACCCCTTTAGCAGTGCCCTTGGAAGGTTCAGGAGGAGGCATGAGGCGGCGCCTCAAACCGTCCAGGCGGGTGAGAAAAATGTCAAAGTACTGGAATGGCGGGGGGGAAGGGGGAGGGAGAAATGGGGACGAGGGGAGGAGGTGAGGGAGGGTGAGTGGGGAGTCTAGTGAGTAAGATGTCAGGTTAATGGGGAACTTTCATCCATTGTCGTCCATCCCTCCTATCATTGCCATCATAGTATTGTGACGGCAGGTGGAAGGATGGGGAAACTTTTGAGACTTCTCAAAAGTTGTCTAATGAGTAAGATGTCACAGTCTAGTGACGAAACCTAGGGGGATGGAAGGATGGACGACAAGGGATGAAAGTTTTCCATTGAACAACAAGGCAAACGACCAGGCAAGATGTAGCGGAGCCGTGCCCGACCCGACTCAACAGCGCAACCTGACCAACCCGACTACTCACATTATGAAAGAGCAAGTGAAAGGTGTGCCCGGAGTGCAGGTGCATTTGAAGGTAGGTAATTCAGTGATTCATGGTGTGTACCGAGACAAAAGTTCAGATATGATGTGCTGAGATCACAAAAAACACATGCACCGTAATAGTAAGAAATATTTTAGATAGAAGGGTTGCTGGAAAGGCAGCTGAGCTACTTAACGTTTTACAATATTTTCAATTTCTTGTTGCCCACGCGTTTACCATGCCTGAAGACGTGGAACTTGAACTTTCTCTGCGAAAGAAGGAGGTAGAGGTGTATAAGAATATAGACTGACGAAAGACGCTCATTGGAGATGAATAGAGTGAGGAAGGGGCGGTTCGGTTGGAATTAATGCCCATCATCACTATCCTCATCTCCAATGAGTGCCTTCCGCCAATTTTTATTCTTACACACTTCTACCTCCTTCCTTGACACAAAATAAACAAGTTTCACGTTTTCAGACATGGTAAACATGTAGGCAACAGGAAACAGAAAACGTTGCAAAAGATAGAGTAGCTCGGCTGCCTTTCCAGAAGCCCTTCTAACTGAAATGTTTCTTACTGATATGAGTGCATGCGTTTTTCGTGATCTCAGCACATACATATCTGTCATTTTGTCTCGGTACACATCATATATCCCTGAGCTACCTATCTTCGAATGCACCTGCACACCGTGCACATCTTTCACCTGCTCTTTCATGATGAGAGCAGTTGGGTTGGGATGTTAAGCAATGAATTTTGAGTCGACTTAGGAGCCATCCAGGCGGGCGAGGAAAATGTCAAAGCACAGTTGTGGTAAAGGGGTGAACAAGGCGGGATAAACAGCAAAAAACTTCAAGTTTCCCAACCAACAGAGCGGGAGGCAGAAGCAGCAAACAGCTGGATTTATTTATCTTCTTGAAACTAGGCGAAAGCAGTGAACGTGGTGAGGATAAAATGGCGGAACACTGTCAGTGGTGGGAGGATCGACGAGGTGAGGAAGGGAGGACTAACCTCATCTGCAGACTGAACTCCTGAGACAAGGGCCTTCTCAAAGACCTGCACAGCCCAGAGAAGAATAAGGGGAACCAGATGAGAATTTGTAGGCAGAGGGAGAGAGAACGCAATAGATGCAATTTCATATTAAAGAAAAAGGAAAAACATGTATACTTAATACATCTACATGTATACATAAAACACAAAGAAAAACGTTCACCCTGACGACAAGGGCTGCCTACCTCTGCCACGTCAGCATCAGCAGCCCCCAATCGCTCAAGAGCAAGCAGATAGTGCGTCCAAAGCGTGCCCACCCACGGGCAGTTTCGGGCTGCCCGCGAATAAACCGAGCGAACAACTGAAGGCACCTGGAGTTATGAGAGAGGGAAAACGGCAAGAAGATAAAGCCAGCTTAATCTAAATATAAAAAAAAATTGCCTTTAACATAAACAGTTGCTTACGGTATTAGTTTGTTTGTTCCTGTTAAAGATAGCACATGTTAAAGGCTAAACCACGGAAAGCAAGTGCTTTCAACTTTGGGTACAAGGAGGTCAATGCACTTCAGCGCACCTTCAGCCTGTGGTCAACCGAGTCAAAGTTTCGTATTGCATGCATCTTGAGTTTGTGGTGAACCAGGTCAATCCCTACCTTGGGTCTGTGATGCTGTGCTCAACCAAGTAAATGTTTTCTATTCCACATTCAATCACCTTGAGTTTTCGGTCAACGAGGTCAACGTGTTTCAGCGTCAGCCACCTGTCAAACACCACAGGCAGAGCCATGACTGCCCTCTCATGCACAGTGGTGGTGTGGTCAACCAAGTCAACGCATTTCAGCACACATTTTTACTTCAACTCGCGCAGCTGATGGTCAACGAGGTCAGTCAATGTACTAGAGCCATACGTCCTTCCCGTCAGGCAGAGAGAGGACAGGCAGAGCCGTGACCGCACTCTCATCATGCACAGTGGCCCATGAATAAAACGTATGTTTGAGACGTAAAAAAGGAGGGTGTTTTTGAGACGTCTCAAAAACACCCTTTTTTCACGTCAGGCAGAGAGAGGACAGGCAGTGCCGTGACCGCCCTCTCATCATGCGCAGTGGTGTGGTCAACCAGGTCAACCGAAACAGAAGAGGTCAATGCAAGTCAACACGCACCTTGAGCTTGTGGTCAACGAGGTCAATGTATTTCTGCCACACGTCAAACACCACCGGGAGGCCCGTCACCGCCCTCTCATGCATGGCCTGCTGACGTGGCATGTCCCCACTGGCTGCCTCCAACGCCATGTACTCCTGGGAGAGAGGGGTGGGGGGAAGCGGGGTGATTGAATAAGGAGGGCCGGAGGGAGAGTGGAGAGGGAGGGATGTGTGAGGGTGGTTCCGCGGGGGGTAAAGGGGGGGAAAGGGAGTAGACACCAATTGTTTTTTTCTAAAAGACGAGAAGGGGAGGTATGTCACTGTACCAAGCACAAGGCCATACCGTGTATGCCTGCATAAGCTCATCCGTCTTCTCAAACGTAGGAGCAGTGCCACTCTCACCTCCTCCTCCTCCCCCCCCCCCTGCCGCTGCACCACCCCCCTCCTCCTCCACTCGCCTCTTCTCCCCTTCCAGCTTCTCGACCCTCTCCTCCACACCCCTCCGCTCCCCCACCATCTTTTCCGCTTTCAAATATGCTGCCTTGACGCTTCCCGGAAGCTTCTCGACGTCCGGAGACGACTCGGACGAGGGTGTAGGAAGCTTCTCGCCGCCTTCCTCCGCCTCCCAAGCCAGATACGCTGCCAGCGTAGCAGGCAGCTGCAAATGAGGCACCGCCAGCTGGCGATGGAACAGCCCGCGCACCCGGCCGGCCTGCTTCGTCTTTTCCTCCTCGTCCGTTACTTTCCGCAGAACCTCCATCTCGAATCCCCTGAAAGTCCCCCAGACAGATGCGCCCTCCCTCAGATGTAACCCAACCTGGGAGAGAGCTTGCTCTGCTGCGGTTCGAAAAAGCTTGAGGCCGTCAGGGGTGTGTGTGGTGATGGTGGGGTGGTGGGCTGCTAGGAAAGCCAGGTATCCCTGCCAGAGGGAAGGTGACTGGGGGCGGAAAAGGGCGGAGAGGGGTGGAGAGGGGTGGAGAGGAGTGATAAAGAGCTGCAGGCCGTTGGAGTGTGTGTGGTGATGGCGGGGTGGTGGGGTGCGAGGAAGGCGAGATAGGCCTGCCAGAGAGGGGGTGACTGGGGAGAGAATTGTGGAACGGAATTGGAGGGAGGACGGTGAGAAGAGCGTCGAGGCAGTGATTGAGTGAGGGAGGGGGGAGGAAGGCAGAGGAAATGGGGGGAGAGGAAATGGGAGGAGAGGAAATGGGAGGAGAGGAAATGGGAGGAGAGGAAATGGGAGGAGAGGAAATGGGAGGAGAGGAAATGGGAGGAGAGGAAATGGGAGGAGAGGAAATGGGAGGAGAGGAAATGGGAGGAGAGGAAATGGGAGGAGAGGAAATGGGAGGAGATGAAATGGGAGGAGAGGAAATGGGAGGAGAGGAAATGGGAGGAGAGGAAATGGGAGGAGAGGAAATGGGAGGAGAGGAAATGGGAGGAGAGGAAATGGGAGGAGAGGAAATGGGGGGAGAGGAAATGGGGGGAGAGGAAATGGGGGGAGAGGAAATGGGGGGAGAGGAAATGGGGGGAGAGGAAATGGGAGGAGAGGAAATGGGAGGAGAGGAAATGGGAGGAGAGAAAATGGGAGGAGAGGAAATGGGAGGAAGGGCACAGGCGAGGATGAGGTGGGAGAGAAGGAGGAGGGGGGAAGAGAAGGGACCGGAGGTGAAAGGGGGGAGAGAGACTCACCACGTACTCCTCCACTCCACGCTTGTACAGAGCTTCCACCTTTGCCACGTCAGCGTCTCTGTGGGTTTCAGCACGCAATGAGAAGCAGATGGGATCCCAAAGAAATGCACGAATTGGTACGATGAGACTGAAAATAAGATGTGGAACAGAGACAGGGGGAAGCGTAGACGGGTGCGGGTCCTGTACAGCTAGGTGATTAAAAAATGGCTCTGTTGGAATATTCAGAGTGCGGACTAGGTGGCCGGGATGAGAACAGCGCGCTCATCAGCCTGGTTCAGCAGGCAGGCAGCACACGGCAGGGAGCAGGCAGCAGGCAGCAGGCAGCAGGTTGAAGGGGGCACACTCACGAGGCGATGAGGCGCGTCTCGTCGTGAGCCCACTGCTGCCACATGGCGGGCGATAACGGGAAGAGCGCGTTCATCGCCTCCCTCGCTGCCCGCAGCTCCTCCAGCATGCTGCTGCGGCGCAGGAGAGATATCAGCTGACCAGGGGGTAAGGGGGTGAATAGAGGTGGGGGAGGAGAAGGGGAGGAAGGGGAAGGGAAGAGGTGGCAGTTGAGGCGCCTCAGAGCCCACTGCTGCCACATGGCGGGTAAGAGCGAGAACAGTGCATTCATCGCCTCTCGTGCACCCCTTGAAACCTCCAGCATGCTGCTGCGCCGCAGCAGGGATATCAGCTGAACAGGGAGGGTGCACGAAAAAGGGGGGTTCAGGGGTGGGGGGGAGGGGAGGGGAAAGGGAAGAAAGGGAAGGGGAGAAGGAGGGGGTTGGAGTGACGCACCTTGACTCCCGCCGCGCTCATTCAGATTAGCACTCGAGAAACGGAGTTGACGGTCAGCCATGACTTGGCGTTTGGACTGGCGGTGACCTAATCCGGCAGGCATTTGTCAGTGGCCAGCCATTTCGTTCCATCAACACTCTCAACTCTCGCCTGCTTTAGTCCATTTTTTAGGCGCCTCAAATATCGTTTGGCGTGGCGGTGACCTAATTCGGCAGCATTCGGCAGTAGCCACCAGTTAGACATATGACGACCCTTGAGGCGCCTAGAAGGTCGTTTTGTGCGGCGGTGACCTAATCTGGCAGCATTCGGCAGTGGCCAGCCATGTCGTTCCATCAGCACTCTCAACTCTCGGCTCCTATGGCCCTCTTAGAGTAGAGAGGTGCCTCGACGTGATTAAAGCGAAGGAGATTACTGGATGGGCTAAAAACGTGCACGTACCTGAACGTGAGCCTGATAGTCGTATGGATTCGATGCGATGCGCGCTTTGACTTGGTCAATCAAAGCCTTTCGCTCCGCCTCCTCCGCTGCTTCTTTCTCATCTTCGCTATCGTCATCCTCGCTATCATCGCCATCGCTGTCATCGTCCGAATCCTCTTTTTTCGGGTCATTGGTCGCATTCTTACCGTCACCGCCTTCGTCTAGCTCTGAATCTGATGTTTCCGGCTTTTCTGCCATATCAACGTCACCATCACCTGCCTTCTCAACGGCTTTATCGTCGTCACTGGCCATGGCGCGACTCCTGATGGCCAAAGAAAGAAGGTGTCAGAATGCAACACAGGAAGCATTGAATGCAAACGAGATTCTGTGGATTTCTTCGCTGTTGCAGAATCCACTAAATGAACCATTCCAATATAGCAGCATGCTTGCAAACTAATACCGTTAGTGGATTTTCTGTTGTTTATGATAAAAATATTAATATCCTCAATATTATAATACTTCATGAGCAACTAACATCTAATATTGAATAAAACTAAGAAATTTCTGAGACACATATTCTGCCAAAAAAAAGGCCATGCTAAAAAACGGGTTGGCATGTAAGAATAAACTATGGCCTGGTGTCAAATTCTATGAATACTATTCGAAACACATTATACTGCCTGACACTTGTAGTAGAGTGTAACACCTTGGCATCTTATCTTTTCCCAGCCGGTAATACCTGGGTTCGAGGCTTGTGGATCTGGGGTTTGTTAGGTAGGGTTTGTCACTGACATTTGGGGTTTGGATCTCAGGGTTTCGTCACCCACAGCTGATATTGGACAATTTGCTCAGGCATTGGCGTTTCGCAGTCCCGCAAATCGCGGGAGTGCTGCCTGCGCTTCAGCATTGACGAAATTGGCAAAATTGTCGTCAATAGAAGGTAGTTTGTACGGTTTTGATGCTTGACGAAGTTAAGCGCGTTGAGACGTTAGACCTCGTGTTTGTCGGACGAGCTTACCTACATTTATTGCAAATAGTAGTTGCAAGCGTTTACTGAGGTTCATGCTCGTATGGTGCAGCGTTTGCTTCCTCCCAGAATTTTAATTACGCCATTTCCATAGCTCGAGCGCGCGGCTGTCTTAGTACCTGCAATAGAGTGTGAAAACACGGAAAGGAAGCGCGACGGGCTTTCAGGAACGTTGCCAACGCGAGAGAAGTAAAAAAGGGGTGACCTCGGGTCTGCAGAAGTGGAGAGAAAGATAGGCCGTGCGGTCAAGGCACTGGATTATGTGAATACAATTGGTCAAGGCGCGGAATATTTTTTTTTGCGATTTTTGAAGGGACGATTGAGGGGGGGATTCTGTGGAGGAGAATTCCCAAAGCGAGGCCCCGTTAATAGCAGATCCGAAATTTAATGGAGTCCGAGGAGAAGCCGCTGGAGGATGTGATTAAAGCGAACGGGGACGGTGCTGCTGAGGAGTGTGGCAAGCAGGGTGACAATGACGAGAGTATCCGAACGGGGGAAGTTAGAGCAACGGAGGGTAAGGTTGAAGCGGAGAAACAAGGAGAACGAAAAGAAACGGGGGAAGGCGAGAAGGAGGTTGGAGAAGGCGAGAAGGGGACGGAAGATTCGGAAGGGAAGGTCTTACCTGGGGGAGGCTCCAACTTGCAAGAGGATGGGCCAGTAAAAGCGGAAGTTGAAACGGAGAAGCGATTGGATGGTACTGCGACTGCAATAGAGGTGGATACTGAAACGAGGGTAACTGAAGCGGTGATGACTGAAGCGAAGGTGACTGAAGGAAGAACTGAAGGGGGGGTGACTGAAGCGGAGGGTATAGAGAGGGAACAGGGTTTGGAGTCAGGAGGGGCAGGGGAGGGCGAGAAATCAACGAGAGAGAAAAATAGGGGCCAAGAAGGTGTTGGGGAAGCAGATGGGGCGGAAGAAGTGGATGTGGGGGGAGAGGGGTTTGTCGATGGGGAGGCGGAAGGGAAGTTTGACAAGGAGAGGGGAGGAGGTAAGGAGATGGGGGGAGATGAGGACAGGAAAGGGAATGGGGACATGAAAGGTGAGGAGAAGGATGGGAAGAAGGGTGAGGGGAGGGATGAAGGGAAGGGTGAGGGAAAGGGTGAAGGTTGCAGTGACACTGGCGAGCAGGGTGATAACAAGGGTCCGAAGGACGCCGTAGACGTGACTTTGGCGAATGGATCAGCCGAGGATGGAAAGGAGAGAGGGGTGAAGGGTGAAGGGGAGAAAGGGAGTTGTGATACGGCCAAGGGTACGGAGGGGGAAGGAGCAGGAAGGCAGGTGGAACCTCTGGAGAAGGGGGGTGTGGGAGAAGAGAAGCAGGAGCAGGGGGGAGGGAAGTTGGAGGAGGATGAGGAGGGAGGGAGAAAAGGGGAGGAGGAGAGAGGAAGGGGGGGGAGTGAGGGGGAGGGTATTAAGGAGCAGGAGAGAACAAACTCAGAGTTGGAAGGAGTAGAGGGAGGAAAGAAAGTGGAAGGAGAAGGAAGTAAGGTGGAAGAGCGGGAGGATCGAGGGAAGCAGCAGCAGGTTTCATCAGAGTCGGCGCAGCTAACCACTAACACGGAATCTGTTTTAACTTCAGGCACTGGTGCTAGCGCTGCTGCTACAGATGCTAAAGCCTCAAGTGCTAATGCTACAGGTGTTACTGCTACAGACGCTAATGCTACAGGTACTAACGCAACAGTTGCTCACGCTACCACAGATGCCATTGATTTAGATGCTAATCCCGCAACTGCTAACCCCACTGTCCCTGAGACAACAGATCTTACTGCTACAGAAGCTGCTGCTGCTACAGACATGAACACTGCAGACGGCTCTGCTGACCGTGGCCCTCCTGGTGCACTCCCATTGCCAGCAGAGCAGGGACAGCAGGGGATGGAGGCACAGCCGCCCGTGGCAGCGGAGCAGCAGCTGATGGACCTCCGCCTGCTGGCGCTGCAGAACGCTGTGCTGCCCGCGCATGGGGAGGGGGAGGGCGCTGAGGAGGAGACGACTCAGAATGCAGCACTGCCAACCGGACCAGAGGCACCAGCGGAGGAGCAGCAGGTGCTGCAGGAACAGCGGCATGAGGGGATGGAGACAGAGCTCCCAGCAGCAGCAGAGCAGCAGCAGCAGCACGAGGTGATGGACATGCGTCTCTTAGCGATGCAGAACGTGGTGCTGGTGCAGGCAGCGAACGAGGAGGAGGAGATCGACGTGCTAGAGGTGGACGAGGAGGAGGAGGAGCAGCTCAAGAAGCAGATGGGCGTGGGGGAGGGCGGCCCTGTTGAGTACATGGTGCTGGGGGGAGCGGGAGAAGGCCCGGAAGGGGGAGTTGGGGGGGTGATTGGGGGAGGAGGTGAAGCGGGGGTGATGGGGGATGGGGTTGTGGGAGAGGGGCAGGATGGTGCTACTGCTGGAGTTGCTGCTGGGGTTGCAGGTGGGTTGGTGTCGGAACACCCGCCTGATGCTGCTGCAGGTGGAATCTCAGGTGCGGTGATGGGCGGTGTCGCAGGTGTGGAGTCAGGTGGGGTGGCACTTCCGGTGGTTCCAGGTGGTGGTGGTGAAAGTGTTGCGGATGTAGCTGGATCAGCAGGTGTGGGATTAGCAGGTGTGGGATTAGCAGGAGTAGCGTCAACAGGGTCACGAGATGATGACATGGTGGCTTCTACCATTCTTGGCCTCCTGCCCTCTCTCTGCCCCTCAACCCCTGGCTCTGCTGCTGCCGCTGCTGCAACTGCCGCTGCTGGCCTTACTTCTCCTGTCGCTGCTGCTGCCTCTGCTGCTGCTGGTGTTGCTGCTGCCGGTGTTGCTGTTTCTGGTGGTGCTAGTGTTACTGCTGCCGCTGGTGCTGCTGCTTCCCCGTCTCTGACTGAGCAGCAGCAGCAGCAGCAGCAGCAGCAGCAACAGCAAAGAGGGGAGGAGAGGGCACTCGGAGCTCTAGCCACTGCCTCGCCTGAAGGACGGACGGCGAAGAAAGGGGCAGATTCTGAGAGGGAGCAGCAGGCAGGAGGGGTGGGCACGCGAAAGCGGAAGCAGCAGCAGCAGCAGGGGGATGGGGATGGTGTCCCGTCTCCTGTATACAAGCCCTTCGACCCTGCCTGTAAGCTCCCTCGCTCTGCCTGCCTGTATGTTCATCGTACGCGATTGGTGCAGCTCCCCTTCTCTCTCCCCCCCATCCCCCATCTCCCACCCAAACTCCTTCTCCTCCCCCATCCCTCCACTCCAGCTCTCCATCCATCCAGAGCATCACCCGGCGCAACGCAAGTGCCACCACACGATGTGACTTTTGAGTCGACTCAAAAGTCACCTCAGAGCATCACTCGGCGCAAGTGCCACCACACCATCCGCCCTCTGGTTCCTTGTTTTTCAGTATCCTCCACTCTCCCACCCTTCCCCACTCTTCCAACCTACACCCCTTCCCCCCTCCCTACCCCAGCTCTACAGGGAGTCACTCGCCGCACGCGCCATCGCACCACACGCCCCGCCTCCCGCCTGCCCTTCATGGCCCTGGATGGCCAATCCGCCGTGCTCTCCCCCCACCACGCCGCCCTGTGCACCCAACCCCAATCCCAAGCCCAAACCACGAGCCAGAGCCACGAGCAGCAGCAGCAGCAGCAGCAGCAGCAGCAGCTGCGGCAACAGCATGCATCGTCACCCGGTTCCTCTCCTGCCGCTGCTGCTGCTGTGCCTACCGCTCTTCCGCCGGTGGCATCTCCTGCTGGTGTGACAGACAGCAAGGAGGGCGTGCTTGGCAGAGGAAGGCGAGGTACAGCTGTATGCCCTGGGGAGGGAGGTATGACTGAGGGAGGTATGGTTGGGATGTGCCTGGGCCATTTTTCTTCTTCCTCCAGCTTTTTTTGCTGGCACAACGGACAGCAAGGACGGGGTGCTTGGCATAGGAAGACGAGGTATGGCTGGGGAAAGTATGGCTGGGGGAGGTACGGCTGGGGGAGGTACGGCTGGGGGAGGTATGGCTGGGGGAGGTACGGCTGCAGAAGTATGGCTGGGGGAGGTACGGCTGAGGGAGGTATGGCTGCGGAGGTATGGCTGGGATATGTGTGGAATATTTTCGCTTTTCTCCTGCTGGGGTAGGTATGACTGGGGCAGGTATGATGAGCTCTCTCATTTAAACGACTCCCAATCCTGTTGATCTTTTCTCTCCCTCCCAGCCTCTGCAGGCTCGGTACCCGAAGCACCACTGGAAGCTTCGCCTCACAACGGGCCCACCTTAGGACCAGGCGAGGGCTCTGGAGCAGCGGAGGCAGGGGAAGGCGCGGGGGCGGGGGGAGCAGGGGGGGCCGGGGAGGCAGGGGCGGCAGGGGGAGCAGGGGAGGGTGGTGCGCCGGCCCCTGCTTCTGCGCCTGTGCTGCAGGCATACCACCGGCGACGACAGGAGCAACCACTGAGTGAGTGCGAGGGGCAACAGAGGCACAGAGAGAGCATAGGTGGGGGGGGGGGGTTATCCGTGCCACGGTGCCAGTTCTGCACTGCGGGCGATGCGTTTATCACTTTGAAGATTCTCAAATGTGGTGCAGCTGAAAGGGTGCCGATTTTTTAGTCGACTCAAACCAGGATTCTCAAATGTGGTGCAGCTGAAAGGGTGCCGATTTTCCTGGCCCCGTCCTCCCTCGTCTATGTTCCTATTTCCCCCCCTTTTCTCCTCCGCTCTCCTGTTGTGTTTTTAATCAACTCAAAACACACCTGCTGCCAATCTCCCTAACCACATCCTCCCTCATTTATGTTTTTATCTTCCCCCTCTTTTCCCCTTTTTCCTCCCCAGTCCGCTTTTCCATAGAGGGCCTGTCAATGCCAGAGCTCTCAGTCTGCCTACCTGGGCTCTCAACCAATGCTCTCTGTCCGCCGTCCCTCCTCCCTCCCCCCACCCCCCACACCCCCCATCTGCAGTCCGCTTTTCCATAAAGAGCCTGTCAATGCCAGAGCTCTCAGTGTGCCTGCCCGAGACAGGATCTGTTGGTGCGCTCAAGGTGCGTCCCATCTCTTGGTGTTGCTGCCACATGTCCCTCATGTGCCTCCGCGGTGGCTTTTGAGTCGACTCAAAAGTCACCAAGGTGCGTCCCATCTCTTGGTGTTGCTGCCACATGTCCCCCATGTGCCTCCGCGGTGGCTTTTGAGTCGACTCAAAAGTCACCAAGGTGCGTCCCATCTCTTGGTGTTGCTGCCACATGTCCCCCATGTGCCTCCGCGGTGGCTTTTGAGTCGACTCAAAAGTCACCAAGGTGCGTCCCATCTCTTGGCGTTGCTGCCACATGTCCCCCATGTGCCTCCGAGGTGCTCTCAGTCCTTCTCACGTGCCTCCTCGGAATGCCTCCTCCAAATCAGAATGTGTGTCACGCTTGTTTCACTTTCTAGAACCTCCAAGGAGTGAAGCACACTGGTGCATTGCAGTACAACACCTATATGTGTGTATCGTCTTATCGTCCTCGTTTCGATCTTTCATGCCTTGCCCCATCCCAGCAAGCGGTGGTTGAGGCAGCGCTAGCATCCTTCGGAAACGGCCTCCGCCTGCGCATGGTGTTACAGGGTAACCGCTGCACACACGACCAGGCGTCGCTTGCGGACGTGGGGCTCTCCCACGCGGCCCTCCACCAGCAGCAGCAGCAGAAGCAGGCAGCCGCCGCCTCCCTCAGCTTCATGCTCGACCCAGACCCCGTTCTCCTCCCCCCGCCCCCTCCTACTCCTCCTCCTGCCGGCGCTACAGCCGCTGCTACAGCTGCTGCTACAGCCGCTGCGAAGCAGGCGGCGGCAGTGGCGGCGGCGGCGGCGGCAGCGGCTGATCCGGATCCGCTGCTGCTGCTGTCGCCCCTGGCTCATCCTGGGGATCCGTCGCTTGCTGCTGCTGCTGCTGCTGCTGCGGCGGCGGCGGCGGCGGCTGATGGTCCACTTGTCTCTGCTGCATCGTAAGTTTGCTGCTTCCCCCTTCGCTTGCTCACCTTGCTTGCTCCTTACTACGTGCCGCATGCACCCCCACTTCTGTGCTGCTGCTGTCGCCACTGGCGCATCTCCCTCTTGCTGTCATCCTGGGGATCCCTCTCTTGCTGCTGCTGCTGCTGCTGCTGACGCGGCAGTGGCGGCGGCGGCTGATGGTCCACTTGTCTCTGCTGCATCGTGAGTTTGCTGCTTTCCCCTTGCTTGCTCTCCTTGCTTTCTCCTCACAACCACCCACCACGTCCCACCTCCCTGCTGCTGCTGCTGCTGTTGCCCACCACAATCCCCTGGCACATCCTGGGGGTTGTGAGTTTGATGCCTTTTAGCCCATCTCACGCCCATCCAATCCAGCATTGAAGCTGCCGCTGCCGCTGCCGTGTTTGATAGGTATGCTTGTATCTTGCTTCTTTGTTCCCCCTTGATTTCTTCCCCTCCGCTCCACTCCCCTCCCCTCCCACTTGTTTCTCTCCCCTGCCCTCCTCTTTCCCTTGCCTCTCCCTCGTATCCCTTGTGTCGCATCCCCTCTCCCCTCTTTCCCTCAGCCCATCTCACTTGCACCCCTCCCACAACACCCGATCAAGCATCGCAGCCGCTGCTGCTGCCGCCGCCGCTGCCGCCGCTGCAGCAGCAGCGGCAGCTTCAGCAGCAACACCAGGCAGCTCCCGCAGGCACTCCAACCCCGCCACTCCCCTCCACCCATCCTACCTCTCCCCCTCACACCTTTACGGTACCTCCTCTGGCCCTCACACCCCCGCATCTGCCCCCACTGCTGCTACCACCACCACGCCTACCACTAGACAAGCAGCAGCGCAAGCATTGGCAGCGATTCGAGCGCAGACAGAGCATGAGCCTGGGGACGGGGCGGGGGGAGGGAGAAGCAGGAGGAGGCGGAGGAACGATGATGAGGATTATCAGGAAGGGGAGGAGGGTGAGGAGGAGGAAGAGGAGGAGGAAGAGGAGGAGGATGAGGAGTATGAGGATGAAGACGGGTATCACCTGCCGTTTGGGCGGTATTCTAGTAGCGGGTATGCTTCTAAAGGAGCGCATTCCGGTGCTCTGATTCTCCACCCATCCGTCTCAGGGAGAGGGAGAGGGAGAGGCCGCGGGGGGGGAGGAGGAGGAGGAGGAGGAGGAGGAGGGGGGGGGGCGTTGACATACCCAGGGAGAGCAGGAGGGGAGAGTGGGGCGTTGGTTTTGCATCCGCACCAGCAGCACTTGCAGAGAGGGGCCGTGGGGGCGGGGGGGGGCCATGATGGTGCATCCGAGAGCTAGGGGAGCAGCGGGGCTACAGCTGATAGAACAGAGGAGGAGGATCAGGCGGCCATTCACTGTGGGCGAGGTGGCCTCGCTGGTGGATGCTGTAGAAGTGTTGGGCACTGGCAGGTGTGTGGGTAGGGGGAGGGTGGGTGTGGGTAGGGGGGATTTACTGTCTCTGACTGGTTGGGTTGACTTGGGTTTCACCAGGGCTGCAGCTAATAGAGTAGAGGAGGAGGATCAGACGGCCGTTCACAGTGGGGGAGGTGGAATCCCTGGTCGATGCTGTAGAAGTGCTGGGCACTGGCAGGCGGGTGGGGGGGTTGGGGGAGGGAAGCCACTGGGGGAGGGTGGGGTAGGTGTCATTGAGTCAGTTCAAAGCCATGCGGCAGGCCTCGGGGAGGGAGGGGGAGGTGCAAATAGAAATTATAATAATAATTTTCTTTCTCCAATTTGGACCCCGCTACCCGGGTGGTGCACTGCTGCAGGTGGAGGGATGTGAAGCTGAGGGCATTTGCGACATCAAAGCACCGCACCTACGTGGATCTCAAGGTGAGTCTTGCTTGTACTGTGATGAATTCCTCTTGGACACCTAGCATAAAAACTTCAATGATTACTTGACATGCTTTTCTGCATTTGTGCTTTTGTACTTGTTTTTTTTGTGTGTGTTTTTTTTTTTTTTTTTAATGTGGCCTTCTCTTCTTTCTTAACTGACTTTCGTCACAACCCCCCCTGCATTCGCCAGGACAAGTGGAAGACTCTTGTGCACACGGCTCAGATCGCGCCACATCAGCGCAGGGGGGAGCCGGTGCCACAGGAGCTGTTGGATCGAGTGGTGCAGGCGCATAGCTACTGGCAAGAGCAGCTAAGAATTCAACGTGAGGAACGAGACTCCTAACCAATGCTGATACTATCATTGTAATTTAGTTTGATCCTTGCAAATGAGTGTTTTGTTACAATTACCGTGAATAATAAGTGAAGCCAAAGGTTTTTATTGCTTTCTATACGGTTTATATAGAACTAGTATCTATCATAGCAGCTCTGAAGAGCTTAGCTGGTTCTGGCTGTGTGAAAATGCAGTAATTGATACACTACTGAATTTGCATGTTGTTATGAGTTGTACTAAGAAGAGTGCGCGGAAGACTTAATAAAAAGGATGAGAATTACAGAATGTCGAGAATGATCAAGAGGCATGAATTTTTAGGGTCGAAACCGTGGTAGGCGAGGACCTCGGGACGTGCGAGGCTTGGAAGTGTCGCGATTGGTGCGGGGTGACTCGGCGCTGGCTCGGTACGAAAGTGTAGGCCGAGCCCAACTGACGCGAACAGTTCGGGCTGTCCTTGCTAGGAGCAGCCTCGACAGTCATGAATTCATATTCATTACACATGTGCTGCCTCTGTAACGTGCTATAAGTTTTTTTGTGTGTGTAAATCCATTAACAACCGTAGATACATTCGCAGTCGCAAGCTTATAACCTTCTGTATTGCACCGAGACCATGGAATCCGATATAAGTCCAAAGTCAACGCGAGAATGCTTCCGCTATGCTGCACATGATACAGTAGTCAGCAAAGGTCAATAGAAGCGTGCTTCGCCGACAAATTAGCTTACCTCCAAGCCGCGCCGCACCAGGCAGGTATAAATTCCCAAATGCCTGGCATAATTTCGTTCATAGTGTTACTGAAGCCTTCTTCACTTTGTTCAACAAGATTAATACTGCTCTGCCCTGCTCTCAGATGAGCAGTGCGAGCGCTGACGACTCTTCTAGGTCAGACACGCATCAACTCCTAACCGAGGACGTTAGTAACGCGTATTCCGGTCGAGCGTCTCCGAGTCCGAGACGCGACCCTGCTGATGGCGCGAATACATAGTTTCGCCACGTCAGTCCTCCCTTCAGCCATCATGTCAGCCACGTCAGCCGTCACGTCAGCCATCACGTCAGCCACGTCAGCCATCGCATCAGCCCTCCCTACGCTCCCTTCAGCCGCGCCAACGGCCCTCTTGTCCGCCATTCTGACGGCCCTCCTGCCCCTCCTGCTCACCCTCGCGGCGTCAGCACAACCAGACGGCTATCCGGTAGTAGTAGAATACCCTGACTGTCCGATTACCGGCCTGCCCCCCGAGAACGTAGACGCGGCTTATATCGAGGCGTCTGCTAACGGAGCGGCCGTGTGGCAGCGCCGGTGCGTGTGGGGAGACCACGAGACGTGCTGCGGGCTGTGCGGGGGAGAGGAGCTCGCGCTGCGATACATCCAATCCAACGTCTCTCTTGTGATAGAGGCCCTCGGTGCCAACGCTACCACTGCTGCTCTTAAACTCATCGACCTGTCTCACCCGCCCTCTGTGAGTGTGCTGCTGCTGCGGGCTGTGCGGGGGAGAGGAGCTCGCGCTGAGATACATCCGCTCCAACGTCTCTCTCGCGATACTGGCCCTGGGCGACAATGCTACTGCCGCTGCTCGTGAACTCATCGACCTCTCCAACCCGCCCTCTGTGAGTGTGCCTCTGTGAGTGTGCCTCTGTGAGTGTGCCTCTGTGAGTGTGCCTCTGTGAGTGTGCCTCTGTAGGTGTGTCTCTGTGGGTGTGCCTCTGTGGGTGTGCCTCTGTGGGTGTGCCTCTGTGGGTGAGCCGGGGCTGTGCGGGGGGGACGAGCTCGCGCCGGGTGACAATGCTGCTCTTGGACTCATCGACCTCTCCAACCCGCCCAATCCGCCCAGTGTAAGTCCGCAGACCAACCACCGCTGCTGCTGCTCTTGGACTCATCGACCCGTCCAACCCTCCCTCTGTGAGTCGCGGCAGTTGAAGGAGAGGATAAGCCCGACTTCCTTGCCTCTCTGCCTCTCTGCATCTCTGCATCTCTGCCCCTCTGTCCCTCTGCATCTCTGCCTCTCTGCATCTCTGCATCTCTACCCCTCTGCCTCTCTGCATCTCTGCCTCTCTGCATCTCTGCCCCTCTGCCTCTCTGCCTCTCTGCCTCTCTGCCTCTCTGCCTCTCTGCCTCTCTGCCTCTCTGCATCTCTGCCACTCTGCATCTCTGCATCTCTGCATCTCTGCCTCTCTGCATCTCTGCCCCTCTGCCTCTCTGCCTCTCTGCCTCTCTGCCTCTCTGCCTCTCTGCCTCTCTGCCTCTCTGCATCTCTGCCACTCTGCATCTCTGCCTCTCTGCCTCTCTGCATCTCTGCCTCTCTGCCTCTCTGCCTCTCTGCCTCTGCCTCTCCTTTCTCCCCCAGTCCACCAGGAATGTGAGGCCCTGCAGGGCTATCCGCTTTCTGCGAATCTGCTTCTCATTCTCTGCCCCTCTCTGCCCCTCTCTGCCCCTCTCTGCCCCTCTCTTCCCGTCTGCCCCTCTCCGCCCCTCTGCTCCTCCCCCACCCTGCTTGCAGGGCTATCCTCTTGCGCGCATCTGCTCTTCAATCTCTCCCTCACTGCTCCTCCCCTCCCCTCTGCTCACCTCTGCTCCCCTCCCGCCCACCAGGCATGTGAGGCCTTGCAGGGCTATCCATTCTGCGCACAGCTGCTCGAAATGGTCATGTGCGACGCCGTCTGTTACCCAGGTACCTTCTTTCCCTGCTTTCCCTTCTTCCCTTTCCTCCCCTCCGTTCCCTCCTTTCCCACCTCTCCCTCCTCTCCCACCTCTCCCTCCTCTCCCACCTCTCCCTCCTTTCCCACCTCTCCCTCCTCTCCCACCTCTCCTTCCTCTCCAACCTCTCCCTCCTCTCCCACCTCTCCCTCCTCTCCCACCTCTCCCTCCTCTCCCACCTCTCCCTCCTCTCCCACCTCTCCCTCCTCTCCCACCTCTCCCTCCTCTCCCACCTCTCCCTCCTATCCCACCTCTCCTCCTCTCCCTCCTCTCCCTCCTCTCCAACCTCTCCCTCCTCTCCCACCTCTCCCTCCTCTCCCACCTCTCCCTCCTCTCCCACCTCTCCCTCCTCTCCCACCTCTCCCTCCTCTCCCTCCTCTCCCACCTCTCCCTCCTATCCCACCTCTCCCTCCTCTCCCTCCTCTCCCTCCTCTCCCTCCTCTCCCTCCTCTCCCTCCTCTCCCACCTCTCCCTCCTCTCCCACCTCTCCCTCCTCTCCCACCTCTCCCTCCTCTCCCACCTCTCCCTCCTCTCCCTCCTCTCCCTCCTCTCCCTCCTCTCCCTCCTCTCCCTCCTCTCCCTCCTCTCCCTCCTCTCCCTCCTCTCCCTCCTCTCCCTCCTCTCCCTCCTCTCCCTCCTCTCCCTCCTCTCCCTCCTCTCCCTCCTATCCCTCCTCTCCCACCTCTCCCTCCTCTCCCTCCTCTCCCTCCTCTCCCTCCTCTCCCTCCTCTCCCTCCTCTCCCTCCTCTCCCACCTCTCCCTCCTCTCCCACCTCTCCCTCCTCTCCCACCTCTCCCTCCTCTCCAACCTCTCCCTCCTCTCCTCCTCTCCCTCCTCTCCCTCCTCTCCCTCCTCTCCCTCCTCTTCCTCCTCTCCCTCCTCTCCCTCCTCTCCCTCCTCTCCCTCCTATCCCTCCTCTCCCTCCTCTCCCTCCTCTCCCTCATCTCCCTCCACTCCCTCCTCTCCCTCCTATCCCTCCTCTCCCACCTCTCCCTCCTCTCCCACCTCTCCCTCCTCTCCCAGCTCTCCCACCTCTGCCACCTCTCCCACCTCTCCCTCCTCTCCCACCTCTCCCTCCTCTCCCTCCTCTCCCTCCTCTCCCTCGTCTCCCTCCTCTCCCTCCTCTCCCTCCTCTCCCTCTTCTCTCTCGTTTCCTCCGCTCCCTCCTATCTCTCTTCTTATTCGCTTGGCCCTGGTCTGCTCGAGATGCTACCTGGTTTTCCTCCTCTCCTCTCCTCTCCTCTCCTCTTCTCTCCTCTCCTCTCCTCTCCTCTCCTCTCCTCTCCTCTCCTCTCCTCTCCTCTCCTCTCCTCTCCTCTCCCTCCTCAGACACAGAATTCGTGGTGGGAGCAGGTCACATAATTACCATCTGGGACAGGCTTGCAAGCAGGCTCAAGGCCTCTTGTCACTGTAACGAGGTGACTTTTGAGTCAACTCAAAAGTTGCTTGGAGACAGGCTGAAGCCCTCTTGTCACTCAGAGACACAGCCTGATCGGAGCAGCAACACCTGCAACACCTGCAACACCTGCAACACCTGCAACACCTGATTGTGTTCCCTTCTGGCTTTTCCACACCATGTTGTGTCGCTCAAGGCCTCTTGTCACTCTGCTTCTGCTTGTGTCACACGCAGACACGGAATTCGTGGAAGCAGGTCCCACAATCACCGTCTGTGACGGGCTTGCAGATTTGCTCAAGGAGGAATGTGCGGGAACGCTATGTGAGTGGGTGCTTGTGGGTGGGTGGGTGCTTGTGGGTGGGTGGGTGCTTGTGGGTGGTGGGTGCTTGTGGGTGGGTGGGTGCTTGTGGGTGGGTGGGTGCTTGTGGGTGGGTGGGTGCTTGTGGGTGGGTGGGTGCTTGTGGGTGGGTGGGTGCTTGTGGGTGGGTGGGTGCTTGTGGGTGGGTGGGTGCTTGTGGGTGGGTGGGTGCTTGTGGGTGGGTGGGTGCTTGTGGGTGGGTGGGTGCTTGTGGGTGGGTGGGTGCTTGTGGGTGGGTGGGTGCTTGTGGGTGGGTGGGTGCTTGTGGGTGGGTGGGTGCTTGTGGGTGGGTGGGTGCTTGTGGGTGGGTGGGTGCTTGTGGGTGGGTGGGTGCTTGTGGGTGGGTGGGTGCTTGTGGGTGGGTGGGTGCTTGTGGGTGGGTGGGTGCTTGTGGGTGGGTGGGTGCTTGTGGGTGGGTGGGTGCTTGTGGGTGGGTGGGTGCTTGTGAGTGAGTGGTCGTTTGCCTTTCTGCCAATACTGCTTGCCTCTCCTCCCTCTCCTACCTTCTCCTCCCTCTCCTACCTCCCCATCTCCTGCCTCTCCTCCCACTCCCGCCTCTCCTCTGCTTTCCATCATCAGTTGGCCGCATCACCACCACCATGGATCCATATTCCTTCACCACCCAGCTTGTGACAGCGATAAGCAGAGAGAGCTATCTTCTGCCTTTCCTGTCTTTCCTCCTTCTCCCGCCTCTCCCCTGTTTCCATTCCACTCATCAGTTGGCCGCATCACCACCACCATAATCCATATTCCTTCACCACCCAGCTTATCACAGTCGTTTGCCTTCCTGCCAATACTGCTTTCCTCTCCTCCCTCTCCTACCTCCCCACCTCCCGTCTCTCCTCCCACCCCCCCCTCTCCCCTGCGTGCACCCATCAGTTGGCCGCATCACAATCACCATGGATGCATATTCCTTCACCTCCCAGCTTATCACAGTCGTTTGCCTTCCTGCCAATACTGCTTTCCTCTCCTCCCTCTCCTACCTCCCCACCTCCCGTCTCTCCTCCCACTCCCCCCTCTCCCCTGCGTGCACCCATCAGTTGGCCGCATCACAATCACCATGGATGCATATTCCTTCACCTCCCAGCTTCTCACAGCCATAGCCAGAAACCTCTACGGCATCCCTTCCTTCTCGGCTGTCATCTTGTTTTCAGGGAGGGGGGTGAGTCTCAGCCTTTGAGGCGCCTCAAAACGAGTCTCAGCCTTTGAGGCGCCTCAAAACGAGTCTCAGCCTTTGAGGCGCCTCAAAACGAGTCTCAGCCTTTGAGGCGCCTCAAATGTCAGGGGGGGTGAGTCACAACCTTGCGTTCTTTCGAAGCTTGCGTTTTGAGCTGCATGGGTCGCTGCTGGTAGAAATTCACGTGCCTTCACCGTCCTTCTCGGCTGTCAGTCATCTCTTTTACAATGTTTGTGATTCACAGCTTTGCGTTCTTGCGAAGCTTGGGTTTGATCTGCATGGGTCTAATCTCATCAGATATAGAGGTTGTTTTTTAGGCGTCTCAAAAATAACTTCTATACGTGTGGCTGCGAAGCTTGGGTTTGATCTGCATGGGTCTCTGCTCATCAGAGGTGTGTTTCCATCTGGCGCTCTTACAACCCTCCTCAATCAACCTTCCTGCTACAACCCTCATAGAGCAGCCGTCCTCAAGCAACCTTCCTGCTACAGCCTTCCTGTAGCAGGCGTTTGTTTTTTTACAATTCTTGAGAGCCGCCTGCTTCCTTTATGGCCATCCTCTATTCCTTCCTGCTCTCCCCTCCCTCCTCTCCCCTCCCTCCTCTCCCCTCCCTCCTCTCCCCTCCTCCTCTCCCCTCCCTCCTCTCCCCTCCCTCCTCTCCCCTCCCTCCCTGCACTGCCTTTATGGCCCACCTACCGACGATGCCTACCTCCCCACAACCATCCGATGCCATCCCTTCACCCTGCACCCCTCCCACCAACAACGCCTTGCTGTTTTAGTTGATGTTTCTCCCCTCCATTCTCTCCCCTCCATTCTCTCCCCTCCATTCTCTCCGCTCCCTCCACCCAACAACGCCTTCCTCTTTCAGTTGATGTTTCTCCCCTCCGTTCTCTCCCCTCCCTCCTCTCCCCTCCATTCTCCTCCCTCCCTCTCGCAGTGCCTCGACGGCCCACCCACCAACAACGTCTTCCCTCATCCCACCACCTGCTGCGATCCTTTCAACCTGCGCCCCTCCCAGTGCCCCCCAAGCTCTCTTCCCAACCCCCAAACCGAGCCACACCCATCGTCACCACTCTCACCCCCACAACCAACCGACCTCAACCGCTCTATCTCAAACACTTCTGGCCTTGACGCTTATATCGAGTATTTGAACCGTAATATCAATGTGACTCAGTGTATGGCTGCTGAGCCTTACGCCTACCCTCCTTTGCCTAATCCAACTACCCCCAAGCCTCCTGTCCTGCCCGTTTCCTCTGAGCCTCCTCAGCCACTTGCTTTCTTCAAGCCTTTCCCACATGTGACACATGCCATCCTTGGTTTAGTCACTACAGGTTTCTTCTTGTGGATTCTCATCCGCTGCACCTTTTACGTACGCAATCGCTTGCGTAAAGTGAATGATGCTCGGGTGGGTTTGTCTGGCAGGGAGTTTGGTGGATACATGTATTACCGTATCCCCTCGGATAGAAGTGCCTAAGGGTGTATAGTATTCTTGCCATTTTTTGGGGTGCAGTGCAGTGCAGACAATAGTGGAATTGTTTGTTTTAGCCCTTGGGAAAAAAAACATATGTTTCAAGCTATGCCTTCGAAACACTCATTTCATCTATGGTTGTAGCGGAAAGCTCTATGAACAGGGGTGGGGCTTATAATCAGAATGCGGCTTATCGTGTTAATAGACGTTTCCGCTTGAGTTGGAAAGTCCAGACCGTCCTGCTTGCTCTCTATAGTTGCTTACTGAACAAAATGTCAAATTTTGGAAGAGAAAAGGTGCCAAGATGTGGTGCAAAAAATGGCATTTGTTCATAAAGCAACTATAGTTCATGTGCCAATAGCCAGGGCTGTGCAGAGCAGGCCGAACACCAGGAAGGGAGGTGACTTTTGAGTCGACTCAAAAGTCAGCTGTGCAGAGCAGGCCGAACATCAGGAAGGGGGGTGACTTTTGAGTCGACTCAAAAGTCAGCTGTGCAGAGCAGGCCGAACACCAGGAAGGGAGGTGACTTTTGAGTCGACTCAAAAGTCAGCTGTGCAGAGCAGGCCGAACACCAGGAAGGGAGGTGACTTTTGAGTCGACTCAAGAGTCAGCTGTGCAGAGCAGGCCGAACACCAGTGAGGGAGGTGACTTTTGAGTCGACTCAAAAGTCAGCTATGCAGAGCAGGCCGAACACCAGTGAGGGAGGTGACTTTTGAGTCGACTCAAAAGTCAGCTGTGCACAGCAGGCCAAACACCAGGAAGGGAGGTGACTTTTGAGTCGACTCAAAAGTCAGGTGTGCAGAGCAAGCCGAACACCAAGAAGGGAGGTGACTTTTGAGTCTACTCAAAAGTCAGCTGTGCACAGCAGGCCGAACACCAGGAAGGGAGGTGACTTTTGAGTCGACTCAAAAGTCAGCTGTGCAGAGCAGGCCGAACACCAGTGAGGGAGGTAACTTTTGAGTCGACTCAAAAGTCCGCTGTGCAGAGCAGGCCGAACACCAGTGAGGGAGGTGACTTTTGAGTCGACTCAAAAGTCAGCTGTGCACAGCAAGCCGAACACCAGTACACTAGCCTGCGTGATGCCAGTTGGTGGGGTGGGAGGAGAGACGGAGAGGAGAGAATGGAAGGGGAGATTAGTGAACACGATGTGCACCAGGCTATGGTTGCTTGCTAATAGCCAAAGTTGTGGCAAGACGGCCGAACACCAGAAGGGATCCGTGCATGCAGTCCGTTAGTTGAAACGAGGAGAAAGTGTCAAAGTATATGCATGTTATATATGTGTAGGTTGTAGTGGGGTAGCCAATATGGGGTATAGCCCATTTTTAGGGTTTCATACTTGTACCCAACTCTTCCATAGTTGATTCATTCATGTCTCTAGATTCTAACATGGTATCAGAGCAGTAGGTCCGTGGGACCGTCTTTTTTTTCGGGCCCACCTACCGCTACCCCGCGACTGTGACTGTGATTGTAATTGTGCCTGTGACGTGCTGCGCTGCGCGCGCCGTTTGCGTGCTGTCTGCTGACTGCGCGGTCTGCCACTACTTAGAGCGCGCATACCTGATTCCTGCGCGCGGCCCGGTTTTTGCCCCGCGCGTCGTCCAAGCTGCCCGAGTCGCGCCTCGGCAGCCCACACGCGGCTCGCTGCTGCTCCGCGCGCCGCGTCCCGCAGCCCACGCTGCTTGCTGCAGCCCCGCGCGTCGTGTCCGCTGCCCACGCGTCGCGCTGCAGCCCCGCACGTCGCGTCCGCTGCCCGCGCGTCGCGCTGCAGCCCCGCGCGCCGCGGCTGTCATCCTCGCGCGGTCCGCTGCGGCTTCGCGCGCAGCGCCTGCAATTCGCGTAGCCCGCTGCAGCCTCGTGCACCGCGGCTGCCCCTGTTCGTCGCGGCGCCCCCCCCCCTAGACGCCGCCCCTGCCTGACTGCCGCCGTCGCTCCTGCAGCAGCTGCCACGGAGCGCCCTGCCACGGTCGTGGCCCCGCCCTGCAGAAGCTGCCGCGAAGCCTCCTGATGCTGACGCGGCCCCACCCTGCAGCAGTCCTCGCAGCCCCGCCCTGTAGTAGTCCTCGCGGCCCCGCCATGCAGCGGTCACGGCCCCGCCCTGCAGCAGCTGTCGCGGACCTGCTCTACCGCCGACGCGGCCCTGCTCTGCCGCAGCTGTTGCGGCCCCGCCGTCGCTGCCGTCGTGCGCCCACCCGGCCGCCGCCCGCCGAGCGCCGGCCCTGCTCGCCCGGCGAGCGCCTACCCTTCCCGCCATTGGTGAGCACCTACCTTGTTCGCGCGCTGCCGTGCCATCTGCCTGCCTGCCTGCCTGTCTGCCTGCCTGCCTGCCTGCCGCACCTGCCCTGCTCGCGCTGCTAGTGCTGCTAATTCTGCTACTACTGCTACTGGCGATGGCCAGATGCAGCTCCAGCAACGTCCACGCGAGTCTCTCACGCCCCAGCAGCTTCGTGAGTGGTACGCTAGTTGGGGTTGTGGCGGTAGCCGTCGTAGCTGTCGCCCTGGAGCTGGTCAGTTGGGAGCGTCTGGCAGTGGCCAGCTGCAGCTGCAGCGGCGTCCACGCAAGACACTTACGTCCCAGCAGCTTCACGAGTGGTACGCTCAGAGTAGAGGGTCTTGGAGTACCGTTCGCTGCCCGTACGTCATTGGCACAGGTGATCGGGCTGGTCAGGCTTGCGGGACACTTGGTCACACACACTCCCGCTGCTTCGCCCGTCTGAGCGACGCCTGGAGGACCGATTCAAGCGACAAGGGTGAGCTCCCCACCTGGCTGAAGCTGCTTAGGCAAAGGGTAGATATCTTTGCTCTTGACTATGATGCTATTCTCATTGCCATGTATGCATTGCCTACTAGTGGTGATAGTACCTGTTACCTGTGCGTACCGCCTGACCCAGGTATAGAGCCTTCTGCTCTAGGTATTGGTGAGGGTGCTGCTCTGGGTGCTAGTGCGTCTAGTGCTCTAGGTACTGGTGAGGCTGCTGCTATAGGTGCTAGTGCGTTTCCTGCTCTAGGTGCTGGTGAGGCTGCTGCTCCAGGTACTGGTGAGTCTGCTCTCTCTAATACTGCGCCTGCTGAGGCCTTGTACACCTTCACAGTTGACTCAGGTGCTTCTCACTCCTTCTTTCGCGACAGCACCACCCTCGCGTCGCTCAGTCGGCCGATTGCAGTCTCCCTGGCAGACCCCTCTGGGGGTCCAGTCCTTGCGCACTCCTCCACGATCTTGCCATGTCTGGCGGTCCTGTCTGGCTCCCTGTCAGGTCTTCACCACCCATCGTTCTCTACGAACTTGGTGAGTGGTGCTGACCTCCAGGACCAGTGGGTTGACCAGTTCACTCCTGGAGGTCAGTGCGTGACCCAGTATACGTGCTCTCGGACGGGCCGGCACCTAGCCACGTTTACCCGTGCGCCTGGCTCGAGTCTGTACACACAGACTACTGTGTCCCCTCAGGTCGTTGCGTCCGCGTCTATGTCAGATCACCTAGCAGCCCCCAGCTCGTGTCGCGCTTTGTCGCACCAGACCCTCCTTTGGCACCACCGTCTTGGTCACCCCTCGGTGCAACGCCTTCGTAGCATGCACCGCCGTGTCCTTGTATCTGGTCTTCCCAGGGTTCTCCCTCCCCTCCCTCCCTCGCCTGCTCCTCCCTGTCTTCCCTGTGTCGAGGGGCGGCAGCGCGGCACTCTTCACTCCTCCTCGTTTCCCTCGAGGACTGCTCCCTTGCAGACCCTGCACATAGACGTGTGGGGCCCAGCCCGCGTCAGTGGGCAGGAACGCGAGCGGTACTTCCTGCTGGTTTTTGTAGACTACTCGCGTTACACCACGGTCTTCCCCTTGTGCACCAAGGGTGAGGTCCTTGATGTTTGATCCCTTGGATCCCTGCTGCCCGTCTCCAGCTCCGTGAGCGGTTCGGGACGGAGTTTCCCGTCCTATGTCTGCACTCTGACAGAGGTGGGGGGTTTTCCTCCGACCTCCTGCAGAGATTTTGCCGTGTGGAGGGCATTCGCCAGACGTTCACGCTTCCGGCCTCTCCGCAGCAGAATGGGGTTGCTGAGTGCCGCATTGGCTTGGTCATGGAAGTCGCTCGTACCTCCATGGTCCATGCGGCTGCCCCCCATTTTCTGTAGCCGTTTGCAGTCCGCTACGCCTCGCATCAGCTCAACCTCTGGTCCCGTGTCTCCTTGCCGGAGACCTCGCCCACACTCCGGTGGACGGGGGAGGTTGGCGATGCGTCGCTGATCCGAGTCTGGGGTTCTCGTGCCTTTGTCATTGATACCACCGCGGAAAAGCTCTCCACCCGCACTGTTCCCCGTGTCTTCCTT